ATCAAACCCGGGCTGACCTTTTGCAAGGCAAATGCCCCACCCGCTGTGCTAGCTCTCCAGCCCCAGTTTTTGTTTGTTTTGTAAAACAAGATATTTAAGTTTTTCACATTCCCTCATCATTCTCCTTTGTACTTGGGGGACAAGTGGGGGGGGTATGGGAAATTAAGCTCAACTCCAGTCATGCCCAGTGCCTTGTGATCAGATATTTGGGTCTCTGAATCCAGAACCCAGGATACTGAGTTAACTGGAGGTATTATCTGCAGTTCATTAGCACAGGAGGAAAATTTAGTGATCTATAGAGAAAAATCTCTGTGAAGATAAAGGGAACTATTTAGAGATTAAGGCCTAAATGAAGAAGCCAACAAGATGACTTGTTTACCTTTGCCTTTGTTCCCTTTGTATAAAATGTCAAAACTCACAGTGGACACCACACTACAGATATCATTGTTTAGTTAGGATTGTGGGAGTCGTACTTGTATGGTTTTCATTACAATCTTCTATTAAGTCTCAAAGTAACTTTTGACCCTTACTGTCCAAAGTGAAACGTCACTGTGCAGGGTTAGTAGGCTTTGAGGTACTAATGTAACTTGCATATGTAAGGGGACTCTCTTTAAGAAAAGTAAATAAAATTATTAATACACAGTTATATACAGGGCTCTGGCCCATGCTGGTGCAAAACTTTGGCATTGAACTTCCACTTTCTGATAGGTCTACTTGACTGACTACATTCCCTGAGTCCTTTCCATGGCTGCTGCTAAGCCACATCTCCCAGTCCTGTAGTTACCCGTATTTATTGGACCGTATGCTTGGCACATTAGCAGGCCATCCTGGTAGAGTTGACTTTGACATTATCTTCCCATTGTCAAGAGATTTTGTAAATGTCTTAATTGGTTCATCCTGCATTTTGCCATGCTTTGAAATTTTATGCTGTCCACAGATTTGATAAATATGTCTTCACAATGTTCATCCAAGTCAGTAAGCAACAGGGCATAAATGAACTCCAGTGCAGCCCTTCATAGACTGCTTTAGGGTGACACTAAGCAGCGATATTTATATGGTTGGCTACAAATCCAGCTAATTCTGCTATCACAGTGTTTAGAGATCCTGTTAAATGTCTTACTACAACCCAGGGATAGGCTGTCTGCTCCGTTTCCTCATTTGCCAAGCAAGAAACCTAATCAAAAGAGAAAATGTAGTTATGTAGACCTCAGTTGAGAAATTTAAATCTTATTTCATTAATATTATCTGCAGTTAAGTCATTACTTTCCTGTCTCTTCCTTCCTCTTCCAGTATGCCTGCATTTCATTAGAAAGAGGAAGAAACAGAGTAAGACTGTCTTTGCCCTGAGCATCTTCCTTCAGTCACGCCTTCCATCCATCTTCACCATCTCTGTGGAGGAGGGAGTGGGAGCTCCAGTCACTTCCCAAGTGCTCACTGGAGCAGATAGGCCTAGGGTTGAATTGCCTGAGATCAGTGCAGTTTAGCAAACGCCCATTGAGCCTGACAGTCAGTTACTGAAACAGGGTAACTGCAAAGTGGAAAGATAGAAGATGAGCTTCCAGCTATTCAGGGATATTGGATACAGTGGATTCTAACAACTGCCTACTATTATGATGCTGATTTCCAAACTTTTTGAAAAGTAGCCTCAGTGGTCAAGTGTAAGATCCCATCACAAGTTTCCTTGCCACTGCTCTCTTGGTTGGATCCTCTTCCTTCTCATTCATTCATTGAGTATGTATTGATTGCCACCTTGGGCTGAATAGTCTCATACAACCCAGTCTCTATCCACAGGGCACTGTGGGCTGTGTGTGTGTGTGTGTGTGTGTGTGTGTGTGTGTGTGTGTGTAGGCAGGATCTGGGGAAAAGCTTCATTTCCACTGTGGAACTCCAAAGCTTTACTGGTTGTTTCTGTTCTTCCTTCCCCCACTCCATTCCACCTGTCCCCTCTATGACAGGCTCTCTTTAGTCCCAGTCTCTGTGTTCTTATCTCCCTTGCACAGTACACTGGCGTTTTTCTTTAAAGGAACCATATTTTCCCTCTCAAAAGAAATTTTGTCCAGAGCTCTGACTTTATTATCCACTTTTCCTATAACATCCCTGGTACAGAATTCTGTACATACTTATTTTCTTCTCAGTTCATAATCTTCAATTCACAGGAGCTCTCTGGGTACAGGTGAAAAGGTAGAAAGTAAGGAAGTGTAGTCCTTAAGATGTTTTTCCCTCGTGAACTTAGTGATTGCATATATCACATACAAAGAGACAGCGATTGAACGCTGCATACCCTTTATGCCTGCTCTTGGGGCAGATTTTCAAATCCGTAAGTGGACTAAATTTAAAAAGTTTTTCTCTAAAAAGAGCCAACAGTCTGAGTTATCCTAGATTCTCCTTCACTACTCTTTATAAAACACGAATAGTTTATGAGAAATTAAGATTGAGAGTGATAAAAATTAGGGGCCACTTCTGGGATAAGAACTCATATATAGTGCTCATGTTTGCTTTGTATGATCAGCAAATAATCTGACTGTCCCAGGCACAAAACCATTTGCTTTTTTAATTTTCTTAGCTTCCAAAATTGTTGATTCTTAATCCTTCAATAGTAAATAGTCTAGATAAATGAGAGGAAAACAATAAAGCCAAAGACATTATTTGCTATATTGCGATTCTTCACATAAGATATAAGATGCATAGACTTTTAAAATGGTTCTTTTAGCACAATTTTATGTAGGATAATTTGGATTCTTACACACACACACACACACACACACACACACACACACACACACACCTACCTATCAGTAGCCTTAGAATGTTGAATGTTGGTATTCAGGAGTTTAGGAGACAAAGAAAATCATTCTAATACTAGAGGTTGAAGGTTCAGACATGCTGGCTCAGGGATACCTGAACCAAATGAAATCTTTTTTCTTCTCCCTTTTATCATTTGACATCAAGGACACAAAGCTCTTTTCATTTGGAACTTTGGGCTGATTTATGAGCTTTGCTATAAATAATTAAGGTGAAAATTGGTCATGATGTGCCCTCACTGTTTATTAAGCTAAGATCATGAAATATAAAACTGTAATCTGAAATGAAAAGTCAAAACTATTTTCCCAGTGTCTTTTTGGGACTTGATTTGCTCTTCCATGTTCCCATACTGTGGGATGTACTAAACAATGTGTTGAAAAACACTCAGCCACGGGGCTGGAGAGATAGCACAGCGGGTAGGGCGTTTGCCTTGCATGCGACCGACCCGGGTTCGATTCCCAGCATCCCATATCGTCCCCTGAGCACCGCCAGGAGTAACTCCTGAGTGCAGAGCCAGGAGTAACCCCTGTGCATCGCCAGGTGTGACCCAAAAAGAAAAAAAAAACACTCAGCCAGGTTTGATCTTAGCCACTCACCCCTGACTTATGCTGAGAGAAGCAGGACTTACGAGTGAGTAGAATGTCTGGCCATGGGTTTGAACATAAGCCAGATGGGTACAGATTTCGTCGCTTGCTTATGTAATTACCTAGTTGCTTAAATCATTATGGCTTCAACTGAAGTATTTATATTTGCTGTTGGATGAGCAATGCATGTTTGACATAATGGAAACTGATAACAGAGCCAATATTTTTTTTTTTGCAGTAATGTACAATCCATAACTTCCTTTATCCCAGGGGAAAAGTAAAATTGCACTAAACTTTTTTTCCTTTGTGCCATCAGATTCTAAAAGTAGACAACAATAAGTACACTGTATCTAAATTCCCTGTGCCTACCAGCACTTTTTGTCAACCCTTGTGGAATAAAAAATTACAACATTTTATAAATGACTCACACGATCTCCCTGTGATAATATTTTCTAAAGTTCATTTCTGCATTATAAGCACTAGGGATAATAGTATTTTGGGGTGTCTCCCCAGTGCTGTCGTAGTGTTCAAGGGAACCATAGAAGTCTATGAATCAAATTTAGGACTCTCCCATGCAGAGAATGCATAACTAACTTTGTGTTACCACTCCTGTATTTTCTATAGTAAATTTAAATTAATTAATTTATTAATTTATTTATTTTTAGTGTATCACCGTGAGGTACAGTTACAAACTTACAAACTTTTGTGCTTACGTTTCAGTCATACAATGATTGAGTACCCATCCCTCCACCAGTGCCCATTCTCCACCACCAATGTTCCCAATATCCCTCCCCTCCCCCCAGTCCTCCCTTCCTCTGCCTCTGTGGCAGGCGCATTCCCTTTTACTCTCTCCTTTTGGGTGTTGTGGTTTGCAATACAGGTATTAAGTGGCCATCATGTCTACTTTCAGCACACATCTCCCATCCCGAACGAGTCCTCCAAGCATCCTTAACTTGGTGGTCCCTTCTCTATCTGAGTTGCCTTTTCCCCCAGCATGTGAGGCCATTCTTGAAATACTTCTGTGTGGCATAATATTTTCTGTGGCATATGCCCTGCTCATGCATGCAGTCGCTGGTCTCAGAACTGGAGCAGAATTCTAGAGTTTCTGTGGGATGGAGGAGAGGTGTTAGGGCTGGTTCTGTGTAAAGGAGGGGTTGTTTGATGAGGAAACAATAGTAGTGGGGGTTTGGACAGATGCTCTTCACCTACTAGTAGCACTGTAGCACTGTCCTCCTGTTGTTCATCGATTTTCTTGAGCAGGCACCAGTAACGTCTCACAACAGATTTTGAGACTTGTTGTTACTGTTTTTGGCTTATAGAATGCGTCACGAGGAGCTTTGCAGGCTTTGCCATGTGGGCGAGATACTCTCAGTAGCTTGCCGGGCTCTCTGAGAGGGGCAGAGGAATAGAACCCGGGTCGGCTGCGTGCAAGGCAAATGCCTTACCCGTTGTGCTATCACTCCAACCCTACTGGTAGCCTCTGTAAAATCCACCTACTAATAGCCTCTGAAATCCACCACCTAGTAGTAGAGAAAGGTCAGGATCAGTGATGACAGTCACTTAAATCTCTTTTTCTTTCTATTCTTTTTTTTGTTGTTGTTAAATTAATTCCAGATTGGAGAATTACTGAGCACCACCCATCCTGCCAACAAAGCCAGCTTAACCTTGTTCTGTCCTGAAGAAGGGGACTGGAAGAACTCCAATCTGGACAGACACAATCTCCAAGACTTCATCAATATCAAACTCAACTCAGCTTCAATTTTGCCAGAAATGGAAGGACTTTCTGAGTTCACAGAGTACCTCTCTGAGTCGGTGGAGGTTCCATCGCCCTTTGACATCCTGGAGCCTCCCACATCAGGAGGCTTTCTGAAGCTCTCCAAGCCCTGCTGCTACATTTTCCCAGGAGGCAGGGGTGATTCTGCGCTGTTCGCTGTGAACGGATTCAATATGCTCATTAACGGGGGATCAGAAAGAAAATCCTGCTTCTGGAAGCTTATTCGACACTTGGACCGAGTTGACTCCATCCTGCTTACCCACATTGGGGATGACAACTTGCCCGGCATCAACAGCATGCTGCAGCGGAAGATTGCAGAGCTCGAGGAAGAGCAGTCCCAGGGCTCCACCACCAACAGTGACTGGATGAAGAACCTCATCTCCCCTGACTTAGGAGTTGTGTTTCTCAATGTCCCTGAAAACCTGAAAAACCCAGAACCAAACATCAAGATGAAGAGGAGCATCGAAGAAGCCTGCTTCACTCTCCAGTACCTAAACAAATTATCCATGAAGCCCGAACCTCTATTCAGAAGTGTCGGCAATGCTATTGATCCTGTCATCCTTTTCCAGAAGATGGGAGTGGGTAAACTTGAGATGTACGTCCTTAACCCGGTCAAGAGCAGCAAGGAAATGCAGTATTTCATGCAACAGTGGACTGGTACCAACAAAGACAAGGCCGAACTAATCCTGCCGAATGGTCAAGAAATCGATCTCCCAATTTCCTACTTAACTTCTGTCTCATCTTTGATCGTGTGGCATCCCGCCAACCCTGCAGAGAAAATCATCCGCGTTCTGTTTCCTGGAAACAGCACCCAATATAACATCCTGGAAGGACTGGAAAAGCTCAAACATTTAGACTTTCTGAAACAGCCACTGGCCACCCAGAAGGATCTTACTGGCCAGGTGGCCAGTCCTGCTGTGAAACAAATCAAACTGAAACAGAGAACAGATAGCCGAGAGAGCCTGAAGCCCGCTGCAAAACCACTGGCCAGCAAGACTGTGAGAAAGGAGTCTAAGGAGGAAAGCGCTGAGGTCACCAAGGCAAATCATGTGGAGAAGCCACCCAAAGCTGAAAGCAAAGAAAAGGTCGTAGTGAAAAAAGACAAGCCAGTGAAAACAGAGGCCAAGGCTCCAGGCACGGAGAAGGAGACTGGTAAAGAAGAGCAGTCTCCAGGGAAAGCCGACGGTGCCGAGAAACCAGCCACTGACGCCAAACCCAAAGTGGTCAAGGAGAAGACAGTGAAGAAAGAAATCAAGGCCAAATCAGAAGACAAGAAAGAGGAAAAGGAAAAGCCAAAGAAAGAAGTGGCTAAAAAGGAGGACAAAACCCCAATTAAGAAAGAAGAAAAACCGAAAAAGGAAGAGGTGAAAAAGGAAGTCAAGAAGGACGTCAAGAAGGAAGAGAAAAAAGAAACCAAGAAAGAGGTAAAGAAGGAGACACCATTGAAGGAAGCCAAGAAGGAAGTGAAGAAGGAAGAGAAGAAGGACATTAAGAAGGAAGAGAAAGAACCCAAGAAAGAGGTTAAGAAAATCATTAAAGACACAAAGAAATCATCCACTCCTCTCTCTGATGCGAAAAAGCCAGCAGCATTAAAACCAAAAGTACCCAAGAAGGAAGAGTCTGTCAAGAAAGAGTCTCCGGCTGCCGGGAAGCTGAAGGAAAAAGGGAAGGTTAAAGTCATTAAGAAGGAAAGCAAGACGACAGAGGCAGCTGCTGCAGCCGCTGGTGCTGGGGCCACCACAGCAGCTGTGGCAGCAGCAGCAGCTGCAGCGGCCACACCTGGCCCCACCAAAGAGCTCGAAGCTGAGAGGTCCCTCATGTCATCCCCCGAGGATCTCACCAAGGACTTTGAAGAGCTCAAGGCTGAAGAGGTGGACGTAGCCAAAGACATCAAACCTCAGCTCGAACTGATTGAAGATGAAGAAAAACGGAAGGAAACGGAGGCAGTCGAAGCATATGTCATCCAAAAAGAGACCGAAGTCATCAAAGGTCCCGCCGAGTCCCCTGACGAGGGCATCACCACCACAGAGGGGGAGGGGGAATGTGAGCAGACCCCCGAGGAGCTGGAGCCAGTTGAGAAGCAAAGGGTGGACGACATTGAGAAATATGAAGATGAGGGAGCGGGTTTCGAAGAATCCTCAGAGACCGGAGACTATGAAGAGAAGGCAGAGACTGAAGAGGCTGAGGAACCCGAGGAGGATGGAGAAGAAAATGGATACGTGAGCACGTCTAAGCACAGCGTCCTGGAGGAGGAGGACAGCGCCAAGGCAGAGGCCGATGTGCACCTGAAGAAGAGGGAGTCCGTGGCCAGTGGGGATGACCGAGCGGAAGAAGATATGGATGAGGCTGTAGAGAAAGGAGAGGCTGAACCATCGGAGGAGGAGGGTGATGAGGAGGACAAAGCTGAAGATGTCAGAGAGGAAGACTATGAGGCTGAAAAAGTTGAAGCGGAGGATTATGTTATGGCCGTGGTTGACAAGGCTGCAGAGGTGAGTGGTACGGAGGATCAGTATGGATTCCTGAGCACCTCCACCAAGCAAGTGGGGGCCCAATCACCTGGCCAAGCACCTGCCTCTTCAATTCATGATGAGACTTTACCTGGAGGCTCAGAGAGTGAGGCCACAGCATCTGATGAGGAGAATAGAGAAGACCAGCCAGAAGAATTCACTGCCACCTCTGGCTACACTCAGTCCACTATTGAAATATCCAGTGAGCCCACCCCTATGGATGAGATGTCTACTCCCCGAGATGTCATGAGCGATGAAACCAACAATGAGGAGACAGAGTCACCCTCTCAAGAGTTTGCTAACATCACCAAATACGAATCTTCACTGTATTCTCAGGAATACTCCAAACATGCTGTTACATCCCTCAATGGACTCTCTGAAGGGTCAAAAACAGATGCCACTGATGGGAAAGACTATAATGCTTCTGCCTCCACCATCTCTCCACCATCATCCATGGAGGAAGATAAATTCAGCAGATCTGTTCTGAGAGATGCGTACTGCTCTGAAGAGAAGGAGGTGAAAGCCAGCACCATGTTGAACATCAAGGATGCCGTCTCAACAGTTTCTCCTGACACACGGAGTCCATCCAAGAGCCCTTCCCTGAGTCCATCTCCTCCATCACCCATAGAAAAGACCCCCCTGGGTGAACGTAGTGTCAACTTTTCGCTGACACCCAATGAAATTAAAGTCTCAGCAGAAGCCCCAGCTGTACCCACATCTCCTGAAGTAACCCAGGAAGTGGTGGAAGAACACTGTGCTAGTCCTGAGGAAAAAACCCTGGAGGTGGTCTCTCCTTCTCAGTCTGTGACGGGCAGTGCTGGCCACACACCTTACTACCAGTCGCCCACTGAAGAGAAAGCCAGTCAGCTCCCTACAGAAGTCAACAAAAAGACCACGGCCACCTCGGAGAGTTTTGAATTTAATGATACCAAAGATGAGCACGAGAGGGCTTCCATAAGCCCCATGGATGAACCCGTTCCTGACTCAGAGTCTCCCATTGAAAAGGTTTTGTCTCCCTTACGGAGCCCTCCTCTCATCGGATCAGAGTCTGCCTATGAAAGTTTCCTAAGTGCCGATGACAAGGCTCCTGGCGGATGTGTGGAGAGCCCCTTTGAAGGAAAGAATGGGAAACATGGCTTTTCAGACCAAATAAGTCCAGTCTCTGACGTGAATTCCACTGGTCTTTTCCAAGGTCAACAGAAAGAGAAAAGCACAGACTTTATACCAATAAAGGAGGACTTTGGGCAAGAAAAGAAAGCTGATGCTGCTGATGCTGCGAGTTCTCAGTCAGGACTGGCTTTGGATGAGAGGAAGTTAGGAGGAGAGGTTTCCCCGACACAAATAGATGTCAGTCAGTTCGGATCCTTTAAAGAGGACACCAAGATGTCCATTTCTGAAGGCACTGTCTCAGACAAGTCGGCAACACCTGTTGACGAGGGGGTAGCAGAAGACACCTACTCTCACATAGAGGGCGTGGCCTCTGTCTCCACTGCATCTGTGGCCACCAGCTCATTTCCAGAACCCACCACCGATGACGTGTCTCCTTCGCTGCACGCAGAGGTGGGTTCCCCGCATTCCACCGAAGTAGATGACTCCCTTTCAGTGTCTGTCGTGCAAACGCCCACCACATTCCAGGAAACAGAAATGTCTCCATCAAAAGAAGAATGCCCAAGACCGATGTCCATTTCTCCACCAGACTTCTCCCCTAAAACAGCCAAATCCAGGACCCCGGTGCAAGATCACAGGTCTGAACAATCCTCCATGTCTGTTGAATTTGGCCAAGAATCTCCAGAGCACTCCCTGGCGATGGACTTCAGCCGACAGTCTCCAGACCACCCTGCAGTGGGTGCGAGTGTGCTTCATATCACTGAAAACGGGCCGACCGAGGTGGACTACAGTCCTTCCGACATGCAGGATTCCAGCCTCGCACATAAGATGCCACCACTGGAGGATCCCTCCTCCTACACCCAAGATAATGATCTTTCTGAGCTCATCTCAGTATCTCAGGTCGAGGCTTCCCCATCCACCTCTTCTGCACATACCCCTTCTCAGATAGCGTCTCCTCTCCAAGAAGAAGCTCTCTCTGATGTACCTCCCCGAGATATGTCCCTATATGCCTCACTCACCTCTGAAAAAGGGCAAAATCTGGAAGGAGAGAAGCTCTCCCCCAAGTCTGATATCTCTCCGCTCACTCCCAGAGAGTCCTCTCCTTTATATTCACCTAGTTTTTCAGATTCTACCTCTGCTGTCAAAGAGAATGTAGCGGCTTGCCACACTTCCTCTCTTCCACCTATGGATGCAGCATCCTCAGAGCCCTATGGCTTCCGTGCCTCAATGTTATTTGATACAATGCAACACCATCTAGCCTTGAACCGAGACTTCAACACCTCTGGCACAGAGAAGGACAATGGAGGGAAGACTCCTGGCGACTTCAACTATGCCTATCAAAAGCCTGAGAAAGCCAACAGGTCTCCTGGTGAGGAAGGGTATGACTATGACTCTTACGAGAAGACCGTGAGGGCGCCTGATGCCAGTGGCTACTATTATGAGAAGACGGAGAGAAACAAGTCCCCTTGTGATGGAGGCTACACCTATGAGACCATTGAGAAGACCACCAAGACTCCCGAAGAAGGGGGCTATGCCTGTGAGATAATTGAGAAGACCACGCGGCCCCCTGAGGAAGGGGGGTATTCTTATGAGATCAGTGAGAAGACCATCCGGACCCCTGAAGTGAGTGGCTACAGCTATGAAAAGACGGAGAGGACCAGAAGGCTTCTGGATGACATCAGCAATGGCTACGATGACACTGAGGACAGCGGTCACACCCTGGGGGATTGCAGCTACTCCTATGAGACCACAGAGAAAATCTCCAGTTTCCCTGAGTCAGAAAGCTACTCCTATGAGAAATCGACAAAAACTACCCGAACCCCTGAAATGTCTACCTACTGTTATGAGACCTCAGAGAAGATCACCCGCACCCCACAGGCATCTACCTATTCCTACGAGACTTCTGACCAGTGCTACCCTGCAGACAAGAAGTCCCCGTCCGAGGCTCGCCAGGAAGTCGACTTATGCCTTGTGACCTCCTGTGAGTACAAGCACCCCAAGACCGAGCTCTCCCCCTCCTTCATTAACCCCAATCCTCTCGAGTGGTTTGCCAGTGAAGAGCAACCTGAAGAAACAGAGAAGCCCCTCACTCAGTCTGGGGGTGCTCCACCACCTCCAGGAGGAAAGTCACAGGGGCGGCAGTGTGACGAGACACCCCCCACGTCTGTCAGTGAGTCGGCCCCCTCCCAGACCGACTCAGATGTGCCCCCTGAGACAGAGGAGTGCCCTTCCATCACAGCTGATGCGAATATCGATTCTGAGGATGAGTCTGAAACCATTCCCACAGACAAAACCGTCACCTACAAACACATGGACCCCCCGCCAGCCCCCATGCAAGACCGCAGCCCTTCTCCACGCCACCCTGATGTGTCCATGATGGACCCTGAGGCCTTGGCTATCGAGCAGAACCTGGGCAAAGCACTGAAGAAAGACCTGAAGGAGAAGACCAAGACCAAAAAGCCAGGGACCAAGACCAAGTCCTCGTCTCCTGTCAAGAAGGGTGATGGGAAGTCCAAGCCCTCTGCTGCTTCCCCAAAGCCAGGGGGCTTGAAGGAGTCCTTAGATAAGGTGTCTAGAGTGGCTTCTCCCAAGAAGAAAGAATCTGTGGAGAAGGCCACAAAAGCTGCGACCACGCCTGAGGTTAAAGCAGCACGTGGGGAAGAGAAGGACAAAGAGACCAAGAATGCCACCAATGCTTCCACATCCAAATCCGTAAAGACGGCCACGGCAGGTAGGTGACAGTGCTGGCACCCTGACATGCTCCACACATCCACTTCTCCATAGCTGTCATGTCCTTTTCCTTCTCTTAACTGTTCCTCTCTGTCCAAAGGTTTAGGCCTGAGCCTCAGTGGCCAGAAGATGTAGTCAAAGTATGTAGTTAAGGCATTTCCCATGCACCCGATCCCATTCCTGAGTGTGCTCCATTCCACCACACAGCATCTGATTTGACTTGTCCTAAACTTTCAGAACCTAGAATGTGCAGAGCAGACTTATCTGGATGACTATGCAAGACTGGTTTGGGCCATGTGGTCCCAGAATCAAGCAGCAGTATCCAGGTCAGACACTTCCAGAGACTGAAAGAACCAGCAGAGGCCCAAGATCCCATGTTTTAAAATAGCTATAGAATTTTGAAATAAAAAATTCACCAAATACTTGGGCCAAGGACATAGCTCAGAGGTAGAGCACTTGCCTTGCATGTGTGAGGACCTGGGTTCAATCCCCAACCCCTCAAAAAAGAAAAAGAAAGAAAGAAAGAGAAATAGAGAGAGAGAGAGAGAGAGAGAGAGGAGGAGGAGGAAAGAAGGAAAGAAAGAAAGAACTTTAAAAGTTCAATAAAGAGAAATCACCAGATGGATTGAACATTAAAGGCATTGTTCTGTTTTCTTATCAGCCTATAAATAACATAATTTCAGTTGACCAGTGAATACCCACGTAAGACGAGAGAAAAGCATTAAATCCTCTTCTTATCCGTCTCTGACTCCAGGGCCTCATTTCAGCTTAGGATTTCACTTGTGAGGATCAGAGACTCCCTGACTTTTGATTGCAACTACCTTGGTCCCAATTCCTATATTAAGAAAATTCTGGGGTTTTGATGGACCAGGCCTGTGATGACCAGCTTTGTTTTGTTGCTTCAAACCAATCTATGGAATTTGCATTCATTCTATTTGCTTTACAGTCAATCTGAGATTTCCCATCACAGTTTACAAAATATGAAAATGACTCAAAGATACTAAGCAGAAGTTAATTTAAATAACATATTCCTAATTTATTAGGGAAAATCAGATCTGACAGATGAATTTCTGGGGATGCAATAATACAGTGTATTTTGGGGGAAGCAACATGAACTACAATTTCAGTTCTTCATTTCTTTCTACATGCAAGAAAGAAAACAAACTTGTTCATGCTTAGAATTAGTGGAAAACCACCAGATTGTGGATAGCTGATGTGGGTTTAAGAGGAGACATGAAATCCATCCAAACATTAAAAACCAACTGAAACTTGCCAGAACATATATACACTAGCCCACCCAGCAAATTTTTTACTTAAACTTGCCTCGCCATTTATAGACATGATTTTGAGGGTGTTTCTTTGGGAAGACATTTACCTATGCCCGGCAATGCTCAAGGTACTCTGACTCTGCTTGGGGGACCATGCAATGCTGTGAGCGAAGCAAGCACCGTAATCTCAATGCTACCTCTCTCACACCTACAGAGAATGTAAAGACAGTAATAAGGCTCCATTCATTTGAATTTACTTTGAAGATGCTTTTCAATAGATTTTTAGAAAGAAAAAATTGTTAAAAATTGATTGTTAAAACAAACCTGGACTGATTCTTACGGATTCTTTTGTTTGTATTTTTATCAACTCATTTATTTGGTGTTGATGGTAATGATTTAGTGTGTGAGGGAAAATTTCAGTTTTAATTATTACAATAACAGTAATTCACAAACTTCTGCTATAAATTGGAATTATTTGTGGTGACCCTCTATGTGGGTATTTTGAGGGTATTCAGGTCAGATTCATGAAATGGTTGGTTATGCTATTCCTAAAATGAGTCCATTTATTTAAATAATAGTTGATATATATATATATATATACATATATATATATATATATATATATATATATATATATTTGGTGGGGGACATACTTGTCGGTGCTCAGGATTTACTCCTGGCTCTGCATTCAGGAATGATTCCTGGCAGTGCTCAGTGAACCATATGGGATGCCAGGGACCCAGGGACCAAACTTGGGTCATCCACATGCAAGGCAAGTGCCCTCCCTCCCCCCCCCCCACACACACACTGTTCTATCGCCCTGATCCCAATATGATTGATTCTCTCCCTCAGAAATAAAACTGGGTGGTTGATGGAGTTTATTACTGGTTTTGGCTCTGAGGTGACAGTCTTTAAACAGCCCATGGAGAAAGAGGCTTAAGTATATAGGATCCAGACATTACAGCAATGGTTTCAAACCAGCCATAGATTAGAAACATATGAGGTCCTTTATAAGATGGGGATGTATCTTAAGGGTAGATTACAAGCCTTGCATGAATAAGACCCTGGGTTTAATCTTCAGCACCACCAAATACAGAAAGCTAGTGGTGTCCAGACCCCTACTCTAGGCAGGTTAAGTACAATTCTGTAGTGTTGGACCTGGGCATGAGTACTTACCATGCTGGTAATTCTAAGCAGGCAGCCAAAGTAAAGAACCATTTATTGCCTTGAATGCTAGTTTTTATTACTGCTAGTTTAAACTCTCCAACTGGAACATGTCAGAAGGCCAGCTCATCAGACAAGGTGCCAGGAAAGTTTTGGGGTTAATTTGACTCTCCTTTGCCCAGGCTTTCCCACTGAGGTTGGGAATTCTTCCTGCCAAGCCCCTTTCCTCCACTGTGGTATGTGCTGATTGACCAGGGAAAGCTCCCCTTTTCTACCCTTCCTCTTGCCAAAGTTTGCCTTGCCTGAAGAGAGATGGCTCACTTCAGCAGAGAACTGTGTGAAACAGAGAGTATAGTGTTTCTTCGGTTTGTGAATAAGGTTGAGGTCCAGAGGACCTTGGAAACCATATGCGGTTAAGATCTGAACAATCTTCTAGACCAAATATTGGGGTTTAATATTCATCTCTGAGCAAAATTGCTCTCAAATGAGATCTCAGTGTGGATTATGAAGCCTGTCTAAGATTGTGTGGTTTATTAAATGCAGGGACTTCTTTGGTGTTTTCAAATCTCTTTCTTTGATCACTTTTCAAAGATGCACATTAGCAGCTCTGCTAGGATAAGTAATATAATATAGTTTCATTTTTTCCCCCCAGCTAGACCTTGAAACTCTTCATCCCAGCTAATGAGTTACCCACAGAGGATGATAACTATCTGTTTCTCCTTGGAGGTGGAAAACAGCCATGTTCTCTATCTCAAATTGTGGGTTCTCCTAGGGGATAAGTAGGGCAGGGAGAGTGGACAGAGGGGTCTCTTCACATGCTCATGACCCTCCCTTTCTCCTTCTATTTCCTAAAGGACCAGGAACCACCAAGACAACCAAGCCCTCAGCTGTGCCTCCAGGTCCCCCTGTGTATTTGGACCTGTGCTATATTCCCAACCACAGCAATAGTAAGAATGTTGATGCCGAGTTTTTCAAGAGAGTAAGGTCGTCCTACTACGTGGTGAGTGGGAATGACCCTGCCGCAGAGGAGCCCAGCCGGGCTGTCCTGGATGCCTTGTTGGAAGGCAGGGCTCAGTGGGGCAGCAACATGCAGGTAAGATCCCTGGACCGTGTCCCTGTGACTGTGCAGCTGCATTCAAGAGAGAGGGAAGGAATCTGGGTTAAAGAGGCACCGTTGGCATTGTTGACATCCCTCGGGTCTGTCACACATGAACTATCCTGAGCACAGAGTGGAATTCACATATGGAAGAGTTTGATGTGTTCCATACTCTACCTTTCCCAGTTCTCATCACATACCAAGAGAATGCATATCTGGTCATATTCCCATTGAGAACTGCTATGGAATGGTCTTTACTTTCGGGGGCCTAAAGAACAGACCCAAACTAGGACTACCGGTGTTTAGCAAGTCAGCTTTCCCTGTGAAGTTAAATTCCACGGGAGCTGAATATGGTACCAGCAGGCTTGTACCAGACCCCCCAACATTTATGACTAGCCACAGACTACCCAGTTATTTTGCTTTCGATCTTTGTATCTATTAGACTGATTGCATAATATCACATAGACTTGCTTATTTAATGAGATCGAAATCTAATGAGAAGTACCCAATGTAATGGCCTCTTAATGAAAACTAGATGGAATTTTAACAATTTCAGCCATTATCTACCCACCCACATCAATCCTTCATTTCCAGCTATATGCATGCATTAAAGGTTCAGATCTTATTTTCTCAGAATTAAAATATTAATTATCTATGATTAAAAGTCGTGGAGCTATAACAATTGCTATTAAATTTTGGATTAATTGCTGAATATCTTTAATGCAAAATTTACCAGTTGTGCTAAAACAAATACAGAGAAATTCTACATTACCTCAAGCTCTTTTTTTTTTACTCTGACGCATTGAAAAAGACTGGTAAATATAGATGAAAAAATTAATCTATCATTAGATTTTTTTGGTTTTGATCTTCAGCTCCCCAGAAAAACTTAACCTTCTGGTTCTTGGAAGGGGTTCAAAAGTTCTTCGAATTTCTTGAGAACAGGAGAAAATGTTATCTTTTTTTCAATTGTCCAATTGTTGCATCTTTTATTTATTTATTTTTTTGCATTGGATTTCTGGGTCTGTCTTCATCAACGAATGTCTCTCTCCCTGCAGGTGACACTGATCCCAACCCATGATTCAGAAGTGATGAGGGAGTGGTACCAGGAGACGCACGAGAAACAGCAGGACCTCAACATCATGGTTCTTGCGAGCAGCAGCACCGTGGTTATGCAAGATGAATCCTTCCCTGCATGCAAGATTGAACTGTAACCGCCAAGGTCCGCCACACCACAGGATTTGAACTTTGTCTCCAGAAATTCTCCAATTTGAAACCACCTTTTCTAAAACATCAATTCATCTAAATAAGTTGCTCAACTGTTACCTGCCAAATGCTATGCTGTGTCACGGTGATGGAAGTCACTAATATTTCTCACTTTTTGCCGATTGCTAAGGGAAGTAACAGTATTCCCAAAGTAGGGTTCAAGTTACTGCAAAATTACCTACCACAGTTCATCTCTGCTGAACATTTGGAAACCATGCACTAGCCAACCCAACTGATTTTTGCTAGGTAGAGGCATTTGTCTTAGAGAGAGAGCGAGCAAGAAAGAGAGAGAGCGAATGCGTGCGCATCAAGAGAAGAGAATGCAGGAGAGAGGAGAGAATGAGAAAGAAAAAGAATGCAAAAGAAGGGTGATGGAATGATAGAGAGTGCTGGTGAGACACCCAGAGAGAATAAGAGACAGCAGGAGGGGTGAGGGGGGAGCATAACCCATGGTGAGGTCTGCATTTCCTCAGGCATCTTTATTCTGTAGTCTGCAGAGGCAGAATTTTCAACTTGTGTCAGTCTGAGTCATCAAAAAGGGTCTTAATTTTCTAAAGCAAGTTGGTGGAAGACAATACAAAGAACATTAGCGGGCATGTGAGATTTTCTCGCCTTAATTAAGCTCCTTCAAGTTTGAAGGCTGCACACTGACATAACTTAGTGAGTGTAGACTGGGTACACAAGGGTTTGAACCCCAACTCAGTACTCCCAGACTCTTCAGACAGCAAGTAGATTGATCTAAGGCATGCTCCCAGCGTTCTTACGCCCAGTTAGTCCACTGATTCAATTTACCTGCATGCGGAAACACCCAAGTCCACCCTGATTAACAAGCCAATACCAAAGCAGTTGGGAGTACATATGGTAGACAATTTGCCTTAGAAAGCGACTTGAATGTACAAAGAAACTTGATGCACTTATTTTTTAATGTGAGACCACAAGTTTATAAAAACATCCGTGTAGGATTATAAACACTCCAGTTAAAGGAGCAGGTGTGTGCACGAGTGTGGGGGTACTAGAAGCTGAGCTGACTGGTGCAAGTTTGAGGCCAAGTCACAAGTGTCCCATATCACTTCCGTGCACCTGCACCCCTCAGCCAAACAAGTTGAGATTTTTGTAGTTTCTTTACTACTGCACATTCAAGGTTGAAATGGCTTCTATGGTCAGAACTGGGCAAACAGTGAATCTTACGGTGGAAGAATTTCTCAGCAAATGTACAGTATTTACCTTTCTCTGTCTTACATTGGCTTTTTTTTTTAATTTTCAACTAATTTCAGCCTCATTATGGGAACAAGTGTACAGAAGAACTTTTTTTAAGCTATGTGAGAACTTTTCATAGATGAACTTTATAACAAATGTTTTCATTTACAGGCAAATACAAGGAAAAACTCAAGTGACAGTTCTTTTTTTTTTTTAAGTATCGTAAGACAAGAACAAAAAATAATGTTTGAAGTTCTGGTGAGATTGAAACCTGATATTGCAGTAATAATATTTATTAAAAACCCATAATTACCAGGAATAGTGATACCTCCCACCCCTTGATGCCATAACATAACTATCTTGAGTACATGTTCTTTGAGAGTGGTGGACCTAAAGACATGCTAGGCTACTTACTTGTACAGGCCAAGTCCATCACCTAATGGTTCCCGCATACTTCTTCCAAGATCTTCATCCATGAGGTAAAAGAGTCAAGATGAGCTCAATGAACACTAGCAAAATTTTGCTTTGGGGTATTCTTTTCTGTGGGGGGGCGGGGAACACATAAAAGAAATAATGAATGGAAAGCAAATGAATTCCCAACTCCTGCAGTTTATCACGTATAATTCAGAGATCATTTCCAGCATTGTCCGCATTGAATGATGAACCTGGGAAGCGAGCTCACAATTAAAACTGCCATCACGTTTCAAGATGCAGATCAGTGCACCCGTGTTCAGATGTGGCAAACCTCTCAGTGACGACTGTGCCGTGCTATGTCATTTCCTGCAGACTCTAAGATCTATGGAGTTTAGTGAACAATGACCTCATTTTATTTTCTATGTCAGTTATTTATTTTGAAGTTAACATTTTTGTTTATTTTTGTCTGATAAATGTGTGTTTTGCACTGCTAACTACTATGAGGGTTTAAACAATGCTTCTTCAAGGTCTCTTCGCTGTGGACCTGTGCAGTCTACTTAATGCTGTGAATTACATTTTTCAAATGTTTAATTTTTTAAAAAAATTAATATTCTATTTTTTTTAGGCTTCTCTAGGAATGCAGCTTTTATTTATTACCCCATTTTGTTCGAGTTCTTAATAACAACACATTGGTTAAGGGTACAAAACAAACAATGGAAACTCATGGTACCAAAACTAAATTTCATTGACTATAAATACATCTACTTCAGACTTATTTTCTGAGACAACCTAAGATACTCAATTTAATTATTGAATGACACATTGTTGAGTTGGTCCGCATGATGTATGGGAGGAGAAGCAGATTTCTCCCTTCTTGCCAAATCAAAACTCTGGTTGATTTTTCCTTGATTGAAGTTGGAATTGTTCTCCAGTTTCCCAAATTAAATTTATTTGCCACGCATTATTTTGTTTTTTAGAAATATGTAAGCATTTATTTTTATTTTTGCTATGGTTTATTGGGAAGCTATCACTTTCCAGCTGTCTCTTTTTTCCTATGAAATATATTAGTACATTCTCCATCCATTGTTCTCAGTTATGGCCACAGAACTTGAGCATACCCAAAACATCAATATTTGCATTACAGGTCGCTCCTGTCCTTCCAAACATCTTTTCTACCTGTGTGACTAACCTAATTTTGCTAGTTCCATTAAGTACACAATTAGTTTTGTAACAACCATCACAATGTACCATGTACGTTCATGGTAAGAGCTAAAGATTGACACAGACTTCTAATTCATACAATTACTTAGTTCAATTGCGTAGATTGAATATTTGAGTGGAAGGAATTGACACCGCTTAAACGATGGGATTCCATCAAGATAGCATTCATGATCATGACTTTTTTAGTAGTATTCTTAAAATTCTACAGAGACTAAAGGTAGCGATGATCCTCCGTTTTCAATTCTAACTAATTCTATCCCCTTCTCAAAACCCAACCCTGTGCATGCTTTCTCAGTCTTGTGGTGGGACTGAATACAATGACTGAATCTCTTCTCTCCCCGCCCCTACACCTGCCCCGACCCAACCCCCTCTCTAATGCCATTTCCATGGATTAAAAAAAAGAAAAAAATTTTTTTTCTCCTTAACCTTACATATCCTAGTGAATGGTTTTCCCAGTGTATATGGATGTTTTATGTGTCTCCAATAGCTTATGCAGTTTAGGAGCTTTCCAATACTCATTTAATAAGATTTAATCATTTGCTCATGGAAATTTTACCACCTACCGTTTCCCCTCTGTTATCAAATCTGAGCTCTCAGGAGCTGCTCTACAATTCTGAAATGACTTTATTTTATTTTTGCCTCTCTTTAGTCACCTGTCACAGGAGGTTCTTGCTCAGTAATGATATTGTGAGTTAGAGTAATAGCTTTTTCTTTCCTTTTCTGGCGCTTGAGATTTAGAAGAAAAGATCCTGTTTCCATTGGAAAGGAACTGTAAGCTTGTCTTCTAACCAACTGAACAACACACCGAAAGCAGCCTAGGAATGAGTATTTCTTTGAAAGCAATTAGGTTATTCACCTGGTATTAAAACTACGATTAAGAAAAAAAAATCTGTGACTTCATTCATTTAAAAGGCAGCATCAAAAACCGAAAAGGAAGGGGGAAAAATTAGTAGCTTCTCTGCAGCCAATTGGAGCTCCTCGAAATAGGAGCCGTAGAGAGGAGGCGTGTAAACTTGGCTGCCCTTTGGCCCTTGGCCAGCGCCTGGCTAGAGCCTGGCAGGGGCCCAGCAGAGCCCAGTGGGCCCGGGGGCCTGTAGCTCTCTGTCTCTGTGGCCCTGGGAAGATGTGGTCTGAGCCCCCGCTGAGAAGCACCTCCCACTCCTCTCTCTTGTTCTGAATGGTGTTTGTGTCAGTCTGCAGCTGTGTATGGTATTACGTCTTATAATCCTGCATCACTTCTATCCTATCCAGTCATATCTAATGTAGAAAATTAGTTTCCAGTGAAAGTAATATGTAGTGCTTTTATGATATTTGTGTGCAATATCCCCTCTTCCATTGAGGATATTTGATGTAAAAGAAAAAAAAACTCAGTTCCACAATAAAATACAAAAGTGGCAAAAGTTCATGTGTGTGCTGTGCTGTCTTTCATTTTGTGTTTGTTCCCGAGTTGAGCGCACCCAGAGTTAAGGTTGGCCACCTGGAGGGAGAGGGAGCAGGCAGCCAAGAGTCCTGCCTCAGGGGTAGCCTGGAGCGAGAGCTTTCTGACTTCTGGCAAAGCTGAGGAGACTTGCTACTGATTTCTACAGCTGCTACTTCTTGACATGGGGGGCTTAAGGACAAAAACTGTGGGTAAGAGATATTATTTCTTGAAAAGTAAAAGTAAAATAGTCCAAGGCAGTTAGAAGGAGGGTTAAGTTAAATTCCCAAAAGGTTTTGTTCCAGCTCTGTCAAACGCAGCTGCATGACCTCAGCCACCATATTCATATGGAGTTTCCTTTGCTCTCCTCTGCAAAATGAGAGAATTTGGTTAGATGATTGAACTGGATGGTTTCTCCCCAGGCTGACTTCCTGGAGCACACCGTAGCTGCCCTTCTGGGTTGTTAGACCCAATACTTCTCCTCTCCTTGGTGTTTTACTCTGCTTAAAAATAAGCACAATAGAGGGTCTTGCACGCAGCCGACATGGGGTTCAATTCACAGCATCCCATATGGTCCCCTGAGCACTGCCAGGAGTAATTCCTGAGAGCAGAGCCAGGAGTAACCCCTGTGCATCGCTGGGTGTCATCTAAAAAGCAAAACGAATTAGCACAATATGATTACTCCCCCACTGGGTTTGATTCACATGCAAACTAAATATGTTTAGTAGAAATAATCATAATAACCGAAAGTACCTGGCAAAACAGAAGACTTCCCAAGTCTTTCAGATATTTATTGTAACTTTTATATTCAGCAGTGGGCGATATTATGGGAACTTAAAGGTAAGCAAAATGCATGTGCTACCCTAATGGGGGTTCCAGAAACTTCAAGGGCAAGAGTAAAGTGATCATAGGAAAAGCACTAGTACTGGTGTCTGAGACCTTATGTAAAAGCAAGTTCTAGAAAGAAACTTGGGCTTATGGAAAGGATCAGAGGAGACAAGGATCAGCATGTCTGAGAGTTCAGAGTGCTTGACATGGCATCAGATGGGTCCCTGGCATCTCAGTTCCCCATCCCCTCCACGTAGCCATGGAAAATGTGCCCACAAAGTATCATCCCCGCCTGACTTCAAAGTTTGACTCTAAGGACTATGGCAGCCTGTCATGTCACATACACTCGTTATATAGGGGGCAGGTGTGTGTGCCAGGATTGGACCCAGGCCTCATACACACTGTCCCTGAGTCACATCCCTGACCCCGGAGACTCCTTTTGATATTTATATCATGCTTAAGAGAGTATTTCTACTAGAAGTTTCCGAAGAGTCTGAAATTTCTCAGGGGATGAAAGGGTACATGAAGGCGCAGGGTGTAAAATCACCACCAGGAGGTTAGAATTACATCTATCAGACTCAATTTAAATAAGTTGTTTTGTGTTCCATTGCCAAAGTTTCATTCTAGAGACTCTACCTTCCTTTCTGAAACTCAAATGAGTGAATGATCATCCTGGTTTGCTGGTTGCCCAGGACTGTCCTGGTTTTGGTATTGAGAGTCCTAGGAGGACCCTTCGCCCCAGAGACACCTGATGGTTGGTAAACCCATCTCCCTAGTTCTTACCACCCTCCCTCACAAGAACCATGTCCAGCAGCGACGAGGCAGAGATGATGCCCCTTCAACTGGTTTGTGTCTGTAAACTGGAAGAAACTTTGCTTCCATTTCTTCTTTTCATGTCTCCTGGGCAAATAAGCAAAGATGTGACACATAGTAGGTGCTAATAAATACCTGTTGAACAATATATTTAATTTCAAAATGGCATGTATGGTGTTGTTGGAAAGAGTTTGGAATCAAATTTCTGTTCAAACTGCATTTGCCACTTATTGTGTGGCCCAGAACAAGTCACAGACATCTCAATTTCTCAGTTTTTCCTCTCAGAAATATGAAAGCAGCAATTTTTGCCATGTAAGGTTGGTAGAATTAAATAGGTAATTTCAAAAAAGTCTGTTAAATATGTTTTGAGTGGACTGGAGATGCAACTCATACATGCTTGCCTTGCATGCATGCCCTGGGTTTGATCCCTTGGTGCTACAAATATAATAATAATAATAATAATAATATCACTATCATCCCGTTATTCATGGATTTGCTTGAGCGGGCACCAGTAACGTCTCCATTCGTCCCTGTCACATGCCAGTGTAGCCCGATGGCATATTGGTGGCTCTTTAAGGGTCAGGGGAATGGAGGACCATTATTGCTGCTGTTTTTGGCATATCGAGTATGCCACGTGTAGCTTGCCAGACTCTGGCGTGTGGCCGGGATACTCTCAGTAGCTTGCCAGGCTCTCCAAGAGGGATGGAAGATTTTGGGGAAGCCTCTAATCACCTTTACAGGTGTTCTCAGTCAGGCATATATGTGGGCAGGATACTCTCAGTAGCCTGCCGGGTTCTCTGAGAGCAAGAACTAGACAATAAGAGGTCGCATGGCCGCATTTGTGGCTGCGCACTTTTGGAGCTTGGTTTTATAGTCTTTGGATCTTGGTCATTGATGGGGTTACATGGAAGTTGGTGGGTGTAACTGTCTAGCTACTGGAAGATGGGAGATCTGGGTGGAGGAGGCCCAGTTCCAAACTGAGCAGGCTTAGAGATCTCAGCCCCGGGTCCTGCACACCTGGGTTTCTCTGCCGGTTCCATCATGTGTGAGGCTCATCCGAGCATGTGGATAGTGGTCTTAGCCTTGCTGTGGCTGGGTCCCAGAGGTCTTCAGGGGTTCTGCTTGGGGCAGAGAGGGAAACTCAACCCGCCCCCCTCCAAGGGGCCCTGGTGAGGACAGCCAGGCATGGGGGCAGGAGACTAATAATAATAATAATAATAATAATAATAATAATACCTCTCTATAATTTTTTAAATGATTAATATGAATAAATAATTACATCAGGAGTCAGAGCTTGGGAAACAGTGACACTACCCGCATTTAGTGGGCATATTTGCTCTAGTCCACATGCTACCAGGCATACTGGCTTCTGATGATGATTTAAGGATTGAAATTTTGAATGCTGAAAAGCCAAAGCATCACAGAAACTTAAAAAAAAAAAAGCAAGTGACATTTTCCTACTTCATACCTTCATACATCAGAGGACTCAATGTCCCTGTTATCACCCCTCCTAAATCTTCTCTAGTTTTTCATCTAGCGTTGAAAGCCTCAAACTGATTTTATTTTCAGATGTGTTTTGTAAGAATAAATTGTTCTGTGAACATGTCCCTTACACTCACAATCATAACGACACAGCACAGCCCACTTCTAATTGTTTGGTTTTAAACAAAGATCCCATGGTAACTGCCACCACCTCAGGGGCATTGCCACCATTTTTTGTTTGGATTTTCTTGTTACCACTGACGTAATGACTTCCTCTCTGAAGCAGAGAATGCTGGTCAAGCTAGAATAAAAGGCAATTTCCCTAGCACAACTATGTGAGAAAATTCCTCTTCTCTCCCCATTTTCTAAAGTTAAATTTTTTTTACTGAATAATTTTCAGAGTTTAAAAAATTAACAATTTTAATTTAATTAAAGGATTTAAAAATAGAGTTTACAGTTCATCCCTGCAATATAAGGACCATAGTGTGGGGCTAAGTATCACTGGGACTGGCACCAGACTCTCCAAGTAACGCCCCTGTGGTTACTCCCACCTTTCAAAATAGTAGTAAAGACTTATCTCTGAAGGCTGGCAACCATTCCATGAAGAAACAGTCCCACCAGGCACTCTTTAACTCACAAAAGCCCTCTGAGCACCTCCCAAACTTGTCCCTTCCTCTCTCGAGCTCCACAAGAGATGGGTCACCTTGACTTCTGGTTTCATTGACTCATACAAGGTCACGTCACAGGTCTGGACAAGTTCCCCTCTGCTAGGGGTGTAAGGGTGTTGATGTTTAGGAACTCAGGGGTCCTGGTGCCCCCAACAGCAAAATCATATAAATCACCATCTATTTATTTCTACAAATGGACTTTGTTTAGAAAGAATAACACCTTCACAAAACACTAAGTACTTCAGGTTCCTATTCAGTTCAACAAGAAAAAAAAAATCTGTGGCTAACACTTGTTTGAGAAATTGCATTTGTAAGGCTGCCACATGAGCCAACATTATTATTTGGTGTCATCAACATCTCTGCAGAACTCTCTGTGCCCGGCACTGCCACCCAGGCCAGGACTCTCCGTTCTGCACTGCTGACATCCAGACCAGCAAGTTCCCTGGCAAGGATTGCTATGCCCATGCCCTGTGAAATGCACTAGGGGCCTCTACACATCAGATGCTATTTCATTCAGGGTGCACAAAAATTATTTAAGGAACATTTCCCAGGCCTTTGACGATTTCTTGTCAAGATCTACATGGCCCCTTCCCCCACCGCACATGCCATCACAGTCCTGGAACGTAAAAACAAAACGCAAATTGTAGTGCTGACCAAGGCCACAAAGTCCCTAGAGGAGAGTGAAGGGTTTGTATTTTAGGATTATTTTTCACTACTGTCCCTCCTATTTTTTGGAGTCCCAGGTTGAACGTGGGGCATTGGCCACAGAAGACTAATTCAAGCTATTCACTTCTGTTCAGTTTAAAAATAAGTTGGGGGAACGTCTACTGCGCACGAGTCTCCATGGAGAAGAGGACTGGCCTGAGTCAGACCCATGGTGACGGAGCCCAGCACAAAGAGATTGATTGTGATTATTTGCCTTCAGTAGAGCTTCTCCCATCCCTGGGCTTGAAGTGCTCTTCTGTTAGCCACCCATATCATGTTGTCTCTGTCCTAAATGACCATGTTTCCATGATGATTCCCAGCTCTGGTGTTAGGTGCCTATGTGGCTGCCTCCTAGCCTTCAGCAGGATCAATGTTCTTTGAGAATGGGGTCTAATGGTCTGTGGAAACTCCATAGTAAGCACATACTTAGTATGTGCCCCGCACACAGTACAGACAAATGCACTCTTGACCGTGGAAGCAAGGCAGCTGCACATACTGTGGGAGTTGCCCGGCATATATGAGGGTGATAGGCAGCGCTAAATGGATGACAGTTAAGTGGAAAAAAAGGATCATTGTAGTTGATGTGCAGCAGAGTGAAAGCCCATTCTCCAGGTCTAATGAATGCCCAGCTAGTCTGTAAGGAAAGTACCCCTGTAGTTTGTATACATGAGAAAGAGGCACTGAGGATAGTAGCTTGGTTGGTGGCAGACAGAAAGTCTCTTTCTAAAAGGGAAGGGGGTCTTGAATGAGAGGGTAGGTAGACTTGGAAGAAATCAGGGATGTTGCAAGTTAGAAAAGGAAGGCTCGATGGTTTAGGGACTGGAGTTAGGTCACAAGAGAAGAGCCTAATCATTTTTTTTAAAATTTTTACTTTATTAAAATGCTGTGATTTACAAAGATGTTTGTAAGTTGTTTCAGACATTTAGTGTTCCAACACCACCATCATCCTGGCAGCCACAGGACTGAAAGCAGTTACTTCAGCCACATCCGTCAGATCTTGAGTGGGAGAGCACCCTATACCTGAGAGGAGAAATGGAGAGAAGACCCCCCACACCCCGCCCCTGCGAGGGAGTGCTCTGAAGGAGACAAGACACAAGTGGAGAAGCCCCGGGAGCCGGGCAGCAGCACCCTTAGGGGCTCCTCAAGTGGCCTCTGGGGAGGCCTGGAAACAGTACATCTATGGCGAGGATCCATGAAGGCACAATTTGGAGATGCAGTGTTAGCCAGATGTTTCTTGTGTCAAGGTCATTAGATTACTGAGCCAAAAGTGTCTTCTGATTGCTGTGGAACCTTCCTCTTGATCCAGTAGGGAGTGACGGGGGGTGGGGAGGGGGGTAACCAAACCTACGCTTGGTAACTCCAGAATGTTAGAAATGATTTTGGATATGACCTTCCACAGGAGCAGGCTCTGCCATTCTTGGGACCATGCTGGACGTGGACTGCAGGTTGGGATGAAGACAATGCCGGGCTTCGGCACTTCATTCAAAAACTGAATAAACACAGGAGAGGGACAGACAGATTGCACTGTTTCTGGGATATAGAACGCTGTATGACACTATTATCCTCGGATGACAAAAATGAGGGTTAGGAGGACCACCTCGTGGTTAGAAGCTTGTCACAAGTGGAGGCAAGAGAGAGTTAGGATAGAGAAGGGACCACTGCAACAATGACTGTTGGAAATGACCACTTTGGACAAGAGAGGAGTGCTAAAAGTAGGTTAGGTAAAGGCATATACGTGATAACCTTATAGTACCTGGATGGCAAATAATGCCCAAAAGGAAAGAGAGAGAGAGAGAGAGGGAGGGAGGGAGGAAGGGAGAAAGAGAGAGGGAGGGAGAGAGGTGTCTGCCACAGAGGCAGATTGGGGATGGGGGGGGTGTAAGGGTGTAACCTGTTAACTGGGGACATTGGTGCTGGGAAATGTACACAGGTAAAGGGGAGGATGTTGAAACTCAATCATGGGCAACTTTGTAACTGTGTATCTCAGTGATTTAATTTAATAATAAAAAAAAGGGACAAGCCGGCTGCAGGAAATATTTGGCACACACTAAGCCCTCATTACTGTTAATGGCATTTATGATTATATATTATAAATCACTTAACAGAGCACTGAAAATGTGTTACTCAAAATCCTAATGAAAATGGCATGATACTTCCTCCTCTCCCCCCACAGAGAAAGAAAACACCACAAGAAATCCCAGAGTTTTTATTTCCATATGTGGACAAAAGAGCATGATTCTGAGTGAAAGCACACCACTGTACTGAGAGGCAAAATCACAGAGCGAGCAGGAGCTGTTCTCCTGGACCCCAGAGCTCACACTGAAGAGTCCAGTCACTTTGGTCACCAGTGAACTACTGGCACTGGCCCCGCTCTCATTTTCTCCAATTTCTCTGTCACATATGGGCACGAGCTGTATGTGTGCCCGAGCGTGAACAGGCCCCTGTCTACACAAGGGTCTTGTTTGACCTACTTGATGAAGGAGCAGAGACCGACATACAGATGCTAAGGGGGCTCTGGAACTGAGGCTAACTCACTCAAAAGCTTTTATTCATAAAATGCCACGGTGGGTCCTGAAATGTAAGAGTCAGCGGGATCAACGGTATTTTGTCGGTTCCTGTACTAAACTCCCAGGTCAGGCTGGAAGGGAGAGGCCCGGGGGAAGGGGAAAGGTGGGGTATGTGTGTGGGGCATGTAGGCACTGCACCCCAGCTCCGGGGAGGACTTGTACTAAGGAGGAGATGAAAAGGGACACAGGGAACTGGACAAGCAGTTCCCCTCTGCTGGGCACCACTCAGAAATCAGTGTGTGGGCCTGCGAGATGGCTCAAAGGGCTGGAGTGGATGCTTGGCAGACGGGACATCCAGGTTTGACCCCAATACCACACTGTCCCCCGAGCACCACTGGAAGTAGCTCCTGACCACCGCTGGGTCTGGCCCCAAGTGAACAAAAAAACCCCTGTGTTCAAAAAAACCCTGTGGCTGCCAGGATGATGGTGGTGTTGGAACACTAAACGTCTGAAACAACTTATGAACAACTTTGTAAAATCATATTGTTTTAATAAAGTAAAAATCCAACGCCTCTCCCAGCACTCTGTCCGTACGTTGTTGACAAAAAGAGCACGATTCTGAATGAAAGCACACCACTGTGCCGTGAGGCAAAATCAGGAACCTTCCAATGCTCACAAGTGAGCCCTGTCTCCCTCGAATGCCATCAGCACCCGCAAGAGTTCCTAATTAAAGCTAGTCAGCTGGTGGTCTTATTCTGACAACTTGCCATTTGCTGTAGCCCTCCCTGGCATCTAGGCAGGTGACCCGGAGCCTTCGTTTGCAGAACATCCTGGCTTTTATTTTCACTGTGGGGCCAAACGCGATGATGCTCATACTCCTGGCTCTGTGCTCAGAGATCATGACTGGTGGTGCTCAGGGGCGGGGTCAGAGGGGGTGGGCATATCTGGTGTCAGGAACTGAACTGGAGCCGGCCCCGTGCAAGGCAAGTGCCTTACCCTCCAAACTCTCTCTTGGGACCCCCACCTTGGCTCTTATAGAAAAGGCTGGGGTCACCGTGAAAGTTCCCGGGCAGGGTCCGTGCCCTGTTAGGCAGACGCCTTCGCAGCCCTGCGCGCCCGGTGCTCTTGCTTTGCCTTCTCCCTCTGCTCCTGCTCCCTCTGGATCAGCTGCACCTGCTCCTGCCGCCACTGCTGCAGCCTCTGCTCGTAGGCCTGGATGTCCTCTGCCTCGCAGCCAGGGAGCTGCTCTCGCACCAGCTTGCTCGTCAGGGTCAAGAGACTTCCAGACTCAACTCTGCCCAAAGCCTGAAGCTTCGACTGTAAGGCCTGTGGGCAACAAAGGGGGGAAAAAGAATGTGAGAGAAGCAGCAGGGAGAGGGATAAAGGGAGGAAGAGAGACAGTCACTTGCACAAACCCCCCAGTCACAGCATGGGGGGAAAAGCCCTTTGTGGGTTCCTGCGAGTTTTGGTCTTTTTATAGCACAGCGGCAGGGCGTTCGCCTTACAAGCGGCCAACATGGCCGACCCGAGTTCGATTCCTCCGCCCCTCTCGGAGAGCCCGGCAAGCTACCGAGAGTATTCGATATGCCAGACACAGTAACAACAAAGTCTCCAATGGAGACGTTACTGGGCCCGCTCGAGCAAATCGACGATCAACGGGAGGGCCTTTTTTTTTTTTAAATCTCTTTTTCTTTCAGACCAGCCACTTTGCTAAGCTGCCTGTGTGGTTTCTCCCTTTTCACTCACAGTAAATGGAACGATGCATGATTCCTGCTGTCATTTCTTGCTTTCAACCACAAAATGAGCAGGACTAAGACAAATAACAGCTTCCACTTGAGTGGTCTTACCCTAAGCAGCAATGGCCAAGCACCAAGAAACAAAAACGGTATAAGCAGCTGACACAAGGGAGCATGTCCATCCCATCTTGCCTTTACATTAACCAAGATAATGCCGGTGTACAGAGTGGGTGCCTTTCAACACCCGGGAACCTGTTTGGAGGGTTTCTAACTAATGGTATGCTAACAGCTCCCAGGGGGAGGGGTGAGGTGGGGGGTTGGGGGTTGGGGGGTGGGGGCTGCACTGTTCAGAGCTTCCTCCTGCTGTGCTCTGTTGAAGGCAGGCCTTTGCAGACCCACTGCCTGCAGCTCCAGTTGAAACTGGCCCCAGGTTGCTGATGTTGTACTCCTGGAGAAGTGCTAAAAAACACTAACCTACTTAAGTGCTTCAAGATGTGGAGACAATCAGAGAGCGCCACTTAGGGTCCCAGTTATAGCTTCTACCATGCTCCCAGACAAGGTGAGGCACTGGTCCAGGTGAGAAGCCCTGCCCACTCAGGGAGGGAAACGGGCAAGGCCTACGGCTTCTAGGAAGAGCCAGAGACCTCATGTGATGGGTCAGCCACAGGAAAAGGGGCCCCAGCTAAGCCCCAGCTAACCTGAGACTAATGACAGTCAGGCAACAGGAAGCAACAGAAATGTAAACTGAATGTTATTTCTTTTGGTTCTCACTCTCCCTGTGCTCAGACCCTGGAGACAGCCTGAGACACCAGAGGAAGTAAGCCATGTGTTCAAATCTCATCAGTCCCCAAAGTGACTGACTTCTCTGCCCTGTAACATGCAGAACCAGCCACCAGAGCTTACAGGGTGACAGGAAGTGGTGCCTCATACAGTCAGTCCTCAATGTCTGTCTCTTCATCTTTGAAAATGCACATGTGGAACAGGTGGGCTGAGAATTCATACAGGTTCACATTTCTATCCTCTGAGGTTCTTTGTGGGAGAAACAAGAGAAAGTGATGATGACTGACCATCTGAAGAAGTAAGTGGTGCTTTTCTCGTGTTTGTCTTCGCAAATTTACAAAGTTAGACCAAGGAGAGGATGCGTGTCATCTTAGCTGAGGCTGCCCGGCTTGGGAACACTGACTAACCTTCCCCGGTTTCCGGATGATAACAGAGGGAAGCTGAGCAAGATCTTTGAGAAGCACCGGGAGAAACTTGGAATCCCAGGGCCGACCCCATCAGACAGGGACAGAGGTTTCCCACAGCTGCCCCAATGTAGAGCCAAATGTGACCACCTAGCAAAACTGGGGACATCTCTCTGGGGACATCAAATGACATAGTGGGTCAGCTGGCAAGGTTTCTGCTTCCTCTGAAGAATCCCCTTTCGGGTTGCTTTTTGTTTCTCTCACTTTTTATTCGAGCCACATTCAGTGGTGGTCAGGGCTTTCTCCTGTCCTGGCTCTGTCCTCAGGTATCACTTCTGGTAGGGCTTGGGGGACCAAATGGGATGCCGGGGATGGCATCGGGGTTGCCCTCGTGCAAGGCAAGTGCCCTCCCCGCTGTACTATGGCTCCGGTTCCTGCCGTTTTTTTTCTGTTGTGGCAGTGAGCAGAGGAGAAACAAAGGCAGGAAGAGGCAAAAGAAGTGTTTACACTTTGAACATGGCGCCTCTTGCCTGATCTGACCATAGAGCACTGTGGGCTGCAAAGTTGATGGCTACCAAGGGCACCTTACCCAGAGTGCTCGGGGCCCAGTGCTCAGGGCTCAAGAAACAGCCACTTTGTCTCCACCTTCCGTGGAGCACAGGAGAGCATTTCTCACGGCTGCGTGCACAGAGGAGCAAGGAAGATGCACGCCTCTTAGCTCCAGCAGTCGAGTCTGGCTCTGCAGGCCAGGGTTTTACAGTGGGCACTCAGGCGAGCCATTACCCCTCCATCAGCACCCGTCAGGGGTGACTGGGTAATGACAGGCTGCCGCGGTGAACGAAACGGTGACTGATGTGCGCAGGTATCAAGAGGAGCATAAAAATGCCATTTGTTTCTTTAAAGACCACTTCGTGCCTGAGGCCATAAAAATGTCACTCTTGGCGTCAGTGTCGAATGCCTGTATGTGTGACAGTGATGTGTGACAGGAATGCTTGTCTGTCGCCACGGCCAGGGACGTGCTGGTTGCATGTAGCGCTAAAGAAGGTCTCCATGCTGCTCCGACCCACCTGAAATCGTTCCTGGTACCGGGGAAGCTTGGACTGCTCTGTTTCCTCTATGTCCAGCTGCTCCGTCCACATTTCCGGCTCCGGGCTGGGAGATCCCTCCTCGGGCTGTCTCTCAGAACGCTCAGCGGCTGGAGCTGTGAGGGCCCTCAGCACTTGGTCCAGCACGTCCAGCTGCAGACAGAGAGAGGGGCAGAGACTGAGCATGCGGTGGCCCCAACGGACAGAGGCAAATGCTGCAGTGAGCCAATCATGTGGAGAGCTCCATCAGCATAGGAGGGGACACCGAGATATCTATCTCCTGAGTTGTTCACTTAGAAACACCCGTGGGGGGAGGGGGGCGTGCCTGGAGTGACAGGACAGTGGGTAGGGCACTTGCCTTGCACGTGGCTAACCTGGGTTCAATCCACGGCATTCCTTACGGTCCCTTACGGAGTGATTCCCAAGTGCAAAGTCAGGAGAAAGCCCTGAGCATTGCCGCTGGGTACGGTCTCTCAATGCCCCACTCCAGAACAGAACAGAATCAAAACTACCCATCAGGGGCATGGGTATAGCTCAAGTGGGAGAGAGCATGTCTCGTTTCTGTAGGTTCCAGCCCCAGCACTAAAATTTAGTCAACAACAAATGGCACAAATAAGGAAGTTCAGGGTTCTCTGTAAAAGTGAACCAGGGGCTCTGGACTTCACTGGGGATCACTTGGGGAGGGATCCAAGGGGCATGGTACTGAAGGCCATCCGCTTCCATGTCTTGCTTCCTCAATGGGTAAGAAGTGGGAAAAAGTGAGAAGCCAAGAGACAGTACAAAGGATAGGGTAGGGTGTTGACGCTGCACATGGCTGACCTGGGTTGGATCCCCAGCATCCCATATGGCCCCATGAGCCTGCCAGGAGTAATTCCTGAGGGCAGAGATAGGAAGGAGTAAGCCCTGAGCATCGCTGGGTGTGGCCCAACCCCTCTCTCTCTACCTGCTCCAACACCACCCCCCTCCCCCCCGCAAAACAAACAAACAAACAAACAAATAAATAAAAGGAGAGGGAGAAAGTGAAAGAAAAACAAAACTTAACTACAACCAACAAAAGGGTCACTCTGAGCGTGCAGGGCCCCCGCTCTGGGTACAGGCAAGGCAGCTTTGCTAAGTCACCTGTAGCTCTGACTCAGGGCCCAGCACGCCCAATCAGCAAAGACCAGCCAGGCACATGTGTTCATTTCAACAGAAAGACTGCTGTGACTTCGCAAGTCAACAAGAAAAGGGGGTTCTATCAGTTTGGCTCCTTCTCCCTCTACCAATTCCACTCTGAGGGCCACTTTCTACACCTTCCAGAGGGCCGAGTCACCAGCGATGTACTAGGAATCACCTCGAGGGCAGCATTAGCACCTGCTGGTCAGATACATTCTATATCACCCGAGGAGAAAACCCGGAGAACGTCAGTGCTATGCTTCCACTAGCCCACGGGCTGTTCTTGCTGACATGTGAGCCATGTTCTCCTCAAGCTGGAACTCAGGAAAATGCAAACCTGGAAGGGATGTTTTCCCAGCAAGGGGTTGCATGAAATTTTGTGCTTTCCCTTACTCCACAGGGACATCAGCAGGGTTAGAATGGCGACAAGTGTTTAGAATGGCACATCCTCGGTTATATAAGTGAATATCAGGTTATAATGTCGGGCAGGGTGCACAGGGGTGCCCTGGACACTAATTTGCTAGGCACCTGACTCACACATCTCACAACTGAATCTACAGAGGGGTAAGTCCTAGGCAGAGCAAATAAGCAGCTCATGGTTGCAGGTACACCTTGGCCAGAAAATAAATACCTGGTGCTCTGGGTCTCACTTGGCTACACGGGACCTTGGGCAGGGGCAGACATTGGGGATTGCGGGGGACCTATGGCTTGTCACCCAGCAGAAGGACACAAGGCCTCGGTCTCCTAAGTGGAGCAAGCTCCCAGCATGATGCGCTTAGGCTCATGCAGAGTTGGGACGCAGAGAGCCTGAGGCCCGCGGGAGGATGGCTTCCTTGAGAAGAGAAGTGAGCCCCTCAGAACCACAAAAGGAACCTGATCCGGAACTCCTCAGTGCCCCACATTCACCACAGAGTGGGCCTTTCCTGTGGGGGTTCCGGAGGGGACAGTCGCTGGACACTCTCCTGGACTCCATGAGGGGAAAAAAAAACTGAAAAATGTCCCTGAACTCATGTCGTCCTCCGCTGGGTTCCCCTGAGGATGGTGGAGAGGGGTCAGGGGCAGTGGGTCAGGCAGGATTTTGTCTTGAACTCGGTTTGAATTTCAGGGGGGGCTGGAGAGTCTTCTTCCTGTGTGGGGAGCTAGAACAACATTCATCGCATCCTCTAGGGCTTCCCCCCCCGCCCCTTTTTTCAGAAAAAGGAGGACATGGTTCTTCATGCCTCAAGGGTGCGTCATAGAAATAACGCTGGCATGGGGCCGGAGCCATAGCACAGCGGGTAGGGCGTTTGTCTTGCATGCATGCAGCCGACCCAGGTTCGATCCCCACCATCCCCTATGGTCTCCCCAGCACCACCAGGAGTAATTCCTGAGTGCAGAGCCAGGAGTAACCCCTGAGCATTGCTGGGTATGACCCCAAAAGCAAAAGAAATTAAATTAAATTAAAAAAAAAAAAAACGCTGGCAAGGAGAGCGAAGAAGGCGTGGGGGGTGAGGGGGTGGGGGGGAAGTGGTGGTTACTGGAAGCTGCACTCGGCAGGCCCAGGAGGCGGCTGGGGCTTACCGCTTCTTTACACAGTTTCCCACTGTCCTCGGGGGAGGCGGCAACGTCCTCCAGCACCTTCAGGGCCCGGTCCAGGTAGCCTGGCCGCCACAGCAGAGGCATGTTGTAGAACACAGCGCGAAGCCCTTGCTGCAACTCCACCTTCCCTGTGTCAGAGAGAACAAGCGAGAAGACTCTGTAATGGCTGTGCCAGGCATCTGAGGCACAGAACATTCTAGTGGCAGCTCGAGAAACAGAGAGGGGCATGTCACACCGGGAGTCTAGATGGATGACACATGTGGCCATGGTTTTACTACCTACACTTGATCTTTAGTTTTGGGGTTTGGGGCCACACCCACTGGTGCTCAGGGGTCACTTACAGAGGCACTCGAGGGACACTGCAGTGAGATCACACCTGGGCCATCTGCAGACAAAGCATGGCCTAGCCAGGTTAAGTATTTTCTGGGAGCCCACACAAACTTTTTTTTTTTTTTTGCAGGGGTGGGGAGTCTAAGCTCAGGGCTTACTTCTTGGCTCTGAGCCCAGGGATCATTTCTGGCTGTGCTTGAGGGGTCATACAGGGTGCTGGGGGTCCAACCCAGGTCAGCAGCATGGAAGGCTAAGTGTCTTATCTACTATACTATCACTCCTGCCCCTGCACACACTTTTTACTATTAAACCATATGAAGACTTTCCCTTCCCTTTCATTGAGGCCAGGGAGCTTTCTCGGAGGACGAGAAGCTCTCAGGGCTGATGCTGTCAACCCCCAAGAGGGGCTACCTTTGCCAAACAAATCAAAGAAATGGAACACTGATTTTGCTTCAAGAACAAAATCCTCTACAGAAAAAGCAAGACCTATTCTACATCTTTGCTCTTGTGACAATCTTCTCAATACCTGACAACCGACTCCGCCAAGAAATGTTTAAATGTTTCAAAATTGCTCTCAAATACCCTGTATGAAGGGGGGTGGGGCGGCGGGAAATCTCATGCTACTCTCCTTTCCTTTATCTGAACTTCACTGCATCTTTAATCAGAAAATCCTCATCGTCCTTTTGACTCTCAGAACATGAATGCTTCTCTAAGTACAGGCTTCCCCTACTCTCTGGAAGAATGTTCTTATTTGAATGGATACATGAGTAATTGGGGGGCCTGGGGACCCTCAAACTGTGTATTTATGGTAATAGCATTCTGCAAAGCATCTCCACCGGACCACAATATGTGGATGCTGGCAGCAGGGTCCTGGGGTCCAGAAGGGGGTGCCTCCATGTTCTGGGAGACAGAAGCCCTCTCTATACCTCTGTGACCAAAGTCACCTCTGCGGCCAGCTCTTAAAGCCACCTTCACTTCCCTTTGCTGGGAAGGAGGATTTGGAAGGCTGTGGAAACCATAAATAGCCCAGGCTTATCAGGTGACAGCTAATTTTGGCCTTGCAGAGGCTCCGGGCTTGCGGCAGCCGCAGCTCTGGGAAACTGTTCCCGTCAGGGGCCCAGGAGAACACCGGGGGAGCTGCCTCGCCACGGCCCCCCAGCCCAGCGCCAGGCTCTGCTCAGGACCCAGCAGCAGCTAGATTTCCTTCATCCTGACAACTGGAATCGCTCATGCTGAGAAGACCAGGATGCTGAGCTGAAAGCAAAGGCAAAGCCTTCTCAGTCGAGAGCAAATAAAGCCAAAGAGACGAAAGTGACTTTCAACAAGAGTGGTCAACTCTTTGGCTAAGTCTGATAAATTCTGGGCTTTCTGCGTCAGTTTATGTCAGAGTCAGCATCCACCAATGCAAAACAACATGGGGGAAGGGGGTGAAGATAACCTCAACGAACAGGCAAACAGACTTGGGTGATTTTTCTGGAAACAACTGTTGGTAGAAGCAATGGATGACCAAGAACAGATGCTTTCTCAAACATGGATCTACTTAAGAGACAGGAAGAATGATGAAACATTAGCATATGTCAGGACACACTTCACGCCCACTTAGATTGGACGTTATCTGCACAGCTTCCTCACCCATCTCTTCTCATACAATCAGGGCCCAAAGGGAGAGCGACAGACACTGCAGGGCACCACCACTGCGTGCCAGGGGGTCGCTCTCTGGTCACCCAAAGCACTGCCAGTGTGTCTTGGCCATCGCTTCCCTCACCCTACCTTGGTACTCCCAGCATGCCAGGAAAATGAGTTCAGCCTCAACTTGTCATTTCTTACCTCTTGCCAGGAAGGTCTTTGTTAATACCGGGCAAGATTATACTGGCGAGTTTCACCAGAGGGAGGTCAGAAGTTTCTTTTCCTCCTCTGTCTCCTGCATTGAGGACCACCAGGTCTAACTTAATCAGTGGTGATCGGTTCTAAAAATCCCTTTATGGTCTTAGGTTATAACTTAAGGACTTTCACATCCATTTTAACGCCAAAAGTGAGAGCTGTACTGGAAAGTCACTAGCACATTGGAATCATTTTGTTAAAGGCAGAGGAATGGAGTGATTCTACAAAGAAGATCTGTATCTCTAAGGCTCACATAGCTTACCAAGGAGGGCATAGCCATACAGCTGGGAACTCAAGCCCACAGAGTTCTTCTGCTTCAGGCCTGGGAGCAGGAGGGAGGCGCCGAAGTTCCGCTCCTCTTCCCACTGCAACAGAGCACAGGGGACAGTGGTCTGGGCAAGCAGTTAGCACTATGCAAACGTGTGTTTTTTGCTAAGAAGGAAACATTAAGTTTAAAAGAGAAAAGCGTTAAGTTAAATCAAACAAACAAACAAACAAAACCAGAGCTTTCTCATCCAAGACTTGTACATAAAATGTATTTATGTTTGAAAAGTGCAGGAAATAAATACCCTGTATAAGAACACATTCCTGAGATGAGTATTTATGAGCAATTTTGGTTTTCTTCTTCTTTATGATTTTGCCAATTTTGGTCCAGGCATAAGACTCCTTTCACAATAAGAACAGCCAAATACAACAGAAACAAAGAGAACGTTGGACCCAGCCTGGCTGAGACCATCAATGAATGAGGGGTTGCAACACAAGGCGTCGGACCTGCCTTACTCGCCCCCTATGCTCTGACCGGCTGGCAGGAACTTCTGCATTTTACCCAATTCAGCAGTAACAAGCTCCCTTCGACTTCACAGTGTTAAAGTAAATACAACTATTAAGTTGCTTTTAGATAAATTTGTGCCTCTCGAGAAGAAATCAGGCAATCAAAACCACTTAAGTGATTGTTTCGTTCAACCCAGGGAGCGAGAAAAAAAAATTATACTTCAGTGCCTTTGGATCCTTTTGAGACGTGGAAATATAAAAAGGCAAAAATGTAAGGATTGCTAAAGCCTGCTGCAGAGTAATCACAGCAGCAAAGGGGGGGGGGGGGCGGGGGAGAGAATGACTCACAGGAAAGAGGGCCCCAGAGGAGGAGCAGGGCAGGACACTCTCCAGGGCGCCGTGATCCACCAGGTGTCATGGGAGTCTGCTTGTGCCCTGGCGGATTCTGGCTCGGAATTCTGGAACAGAAAGTTCCAGTTGGCCTGTTCTGGGCCGTGCTCTCACAGGTCCGGAAGGAAGAGAAGCGTGAAGGAGGCAGGCAGGTAAGAGCCGCAGCCAGGCGTGAGAGAGGCACCCCAGGGACTAATGGGCAGGCAAGTCTCTGGACTTTTGTGTACTCAACTCTAAGTAAGTGTAATTTCTAAACCTTGGAGAGGAAAAAAAAAACCTTCAGGGGAAAACAAAGTCTCCCCAGGTACTTCTGCAGTATGGATCAGCAGGAGAGCCGGTAATGAAGGAGCGGGTCATTCCACTTTCAAAGCAAAATCACTCCCAAGTATGATAGATAGGCCACCCCGCCTCCTGCCCCTCCCCCAGCAGACACTACACAAAGTGCATAATAAATCAGGAGGCTTAAGTGTTATGTTTTTCTTTCTTCAGGGAAAAATGATCTATGCTCTGAACATACATTAGGAGGTAAAAGGCGCGTAGGCAGTGTCCTTGAGGGGGTGGGGGCTCGGCCAGGCTGGGCTGGTGATGGACATGGGCGCATTTGCAAAAGGACTTGAAAGAAAGGCAGAAGGAATGGGAAACTCAAGTCTGAAAAGATTTTTGGCTTTGATGATTTAGTCTAGGAATAATGAGACCACCACCACTTCTAGAAAATGCTGATTATAGGTTCACAGAAACTATTAGGCCTCTTCCTAGCCTTAAGCTTCTGCAGTGTCGGTGCCATTGTACCTAAGTGCTCAAGGCTCCACTTTACCGGGTCTGTCCCTTCCTCTTCCATTCCTGCAGGTACACCCTCCCCTTCCTCCTCTCTCCTCCCCACTTCCACTGTCCCCCTACCTCTCCCTCACTCAACCCCAATTTAATTTCTGGTTCCATGTCCCTCCTTCACAACACTAAACTCAATTTTTTAAAAAAAGTTTTTGAACCACACCCAGTGATGCTCAGGGGTTACCGGGCTCTGCACTCAGGAATGACTCCTAGCAGTGCCCGTGGGTATTGGGGAGCGAACCCAGGGTGGCTGTGTGCAAAGCAAATGCCCTACCCGACCTGATGCATCATCTCAATGGACTTTGTTGAAGTTCGCATCTTACCTACCCCCTCAGAAACACTTTTTTTTTTTTGCTTTTTTATATAGGTTTTTACAGTTCCACATATTCCAATTTTTTTTTTTTTTTGCAAGAGAGGCTCTCTCCCAAGCAGTGCTCAGGAGGCCTAGGGGCCCCTCCGAAGAGGATTTTCACCAACTGGGCCAGCAGCTTAACCCAAGGATATGAGGACGCAATGCTGTTCCATCCCTTCGGTGTGCCGGGGACCCCTGGGCCACCGCGGACATGCTTGGGTGCCCCCATTGGCCACACCTGATGGCTGGGGAACCATGGCTGCCTAGGGACTGAACTAGGGTTAGCCCAAGCAAGGTAAGGCCTTTACCTGCACTCTTTCTCTGCTCCTTGATTTTTCCTTTTGGCTTTCTGGCTCATGCGCAAACAATTATACAAGGGTGTTCGAATCATAATTGTGGTTCAGTTTTCTATTGAGGTTCCAATGGTATCTCTCTCTTTTTTTGAAAATAAAGTATTCTTTTATTATTCTCCCCCATACTTTGTTGGTTTGTTAGCTTTTTTTTTTTTTAAGATATGTCACTAATTGCTTATATTTGGATAGGTAATGGAGAGTATCAGTGAATCAGTGAAATGAGTCAGAAAGAGAGGGACAGAAATAGAATCCATGGTATCTCTTGATGGCCTCAAAGGCATCTGAAAACACAACATGCTCAGCACTAAATCAATGATTTTCTCCCGAGAGTCATAGAGTCCACTGCAAACACAGGTGACCCTCTGTCCAAGTTCCCGAGTCAGAAACTCAGGCGCTAAGACTTGATTCCAGTTTCCTGCCTCTCCACACCTGACCTCATCAGGTCATTTGCCTCTTGCTGCCCTCCCCACCTCCCTCAGGCCCATGCCCACCAGCGACTGTAGTGCCAGCACCTTCTGGTGCCCACCTCACCATTCTCTCTTGCTTGAACAATGAGCATAGCCTATGGGCCCTGAGCACAGCATCCTGCCCCTGCCTTGACCTATCCTGAGTTCATTCACAGGCAACACACATCTGGCCATGCCATCTCTGCTTCTGCTTAAAACCTTCCCCGCTGTTTTTCGGGTGTGGACCCAACAGCTTAGCATCTCCTACATTCTGCCTCGTGATCTTCTCCCCATGCTCCTCAATGTGCTCTTGGGAACAATGACACTAATGAGCTCCTGGGTTCCTTCTGCCACCCTCAGCTGTGCTCAGGGCCACAAGGCTCTGTGCCTGCTGGCTCTTCCTTCTGACCCTCTCCCCCTCTTCATCCAGTTCATTCCCACTCAGCTTCAACATGAACCCGAGAAACAGTGTTAACACTCAAACACAACTTCCACAATGGAGGCGTTTCGCAGATGACTTCTTTCCAGTGCTCATTACAGTCATGGTCTTACCCTGGTATTGGTCCTGCTTGATGTGTCTGTGACTATAAGCAGGAGAAGTACACCGGCTGTTTTCAAACTAGCACCAAGCTGGTACAATATGTGATGAGATAGGCACTCAACAGGGAGCTAATGAGTTAATGAACACAAGGTACACCAAAGGCTAAAATAGTCCAAGGGAAAAAAATCACATAAATGAGGTCAAGCACAGATCCAGGTGGTAAACAGGTAGGGAAGGAGGAGAGAGGGAGAAGCCACACACAGGAAGGATATAAGGTAGAAGAGGTCACAGTTGGGGCTGGACAGTACAGCGGAGAGGGATTTGCCAAAGTGGGTTTGATTCCCAGAATCCCATATGGTCTCCTGAGAACTGCCAGGAGTAACCCCTGAGCATTGCCGAGTGTGACCCAAAATGACAAAGAATAAAACAAAATTTAGAAGAAGTCACAGTTGGGGAAAGATTGAGATATACTGGGCCAGTACAGCACACTAAATAAGAATAGATGTGGGCTAGGTCAGCTGATCTTTTCAGTTTCCTCCCAAAACTGATTTTTTTGGTATCCCACTGGAGTTAAGAGCAGTCTCTAAGGCCAGACTGTCTTTTCAGGGTTGCATCACTACCTAGTAGCTGGCTGGCTATTAATTATTGAATGACTCTATGGCCTGGTCTCAGGCCTCATCAGCTCAGAGCTGTTATGAAGAATATATTCATATGTGGACTTAAACTATACACCCCCAAATATGGCACAGGCTTAGACACAAAGCCTATCACGAGCCGGAACCTCTGGTGCCCACATGTCCCTGGAGTGGTCCTATCTGTTTTGCCATCCGAGCCTTGGTCTGTGTTGTTTGTGCTCTTCTCTGTGATCCACCGTGTGGGCATCACACGGGGTGCCACTCTGGGTAACACTGCAGTTAAAATTAGTGTGTGAGTGCCATGGCCAGAAGCCAAGGACCCTGGTGAGCACCACCAATACGGCACCAACAATAAAGCAGGGTGGGTGAGGGTGGAGGGGAAAAACCCCACTGAATCACTTCTTCACCCCCCCTCCAAAAATATCCCCCTTAAACTATTAAAAGTATTACCTAGTATGGGTATTATTCGAATATTCGTTTATTGTTGTTTTGTTACAATTTATAAGAGTGGATATAAGAAAAATAAACAATGGCTAAATACCCAATCTCAACTGTGAAATCGAGCAGGGCCAAGCTGCCGGTCTTATTCTGTTCTGGACTGACCCAGAGTAATTAAGTTTCAGTTTCCTCCCAAACTGGTGAATAACTGGCCTTAGGTTGTAACTCATGTAGTGCACTGCAGCCTGAACAAGCCAAGCTGTGAGGCTTGGGGATGCCCACTTGTGTGTATCCAATCCACATCAACCAGTAACACCTTAGTTTGAGGTCATCCTTGGCTGCCCTGCTGCATCTCTGCTCTGCCAGGTCCAGCTCTAAAGTTAGCAACTCCGCTCCAAGGTGCATTCAGTCTAGCTCAAGCTTCACGACGTGCAGAAAAATCTTCACTGGGGATTCTCTCACCCTCCCACTCTGCTCTGCTAGAAAACCAGAAATGGAGCTGCACAGAATGAGCACTGTCCCTGGGTAGACACGGCCACACACTTGCATGCTGAGTCCTTCTTCCAGGCCCAGAGCACTGGGCTTCCCTCGAATTCCTCACCCACAATGAGCTCATCATTCAACCTTTGCAAAGGTTTGAGTACCACCTTTTTTTTTTTTGTTTTTGTTTTTGTTTGTTTTTAGACCACACTTGGTGGTGCTCAGGGATCATTCCCAGCTTGATATGTGGGAATCCACGCCGTCTTGGGGACTGAACCCAGGCCCATGAATGCATAGCAGGTATTCAACCCTTTGATCTAATTTTCCTGGCCCTAAGATTAAGGATTGGTTGTTGTTATTTTGTTTCTGCGGTGCCAGGGATGGTACCCAGAGCCTTACAGTTGCAGAGCAAAGTCTCTACTGCTGTACCACGTCCCTGCCCCATGGAAGAACCCTTGGTAGATCACTTACGCTGAAGTCTGTCTTCTTTGCCAGGCAATGGTACAAGACATGGAGGGAGAGAAGCTGGGTGGAAGGTGCTTCAAAGGCTTCCTGTCTCATGATCTCAAACACCACTGTTAAAGCATCTGGCAAAAGACAATCAAAGAGAAAACGAGAGGAAATTAGCTGGAGGTAACATCATCAAATCTGTGCTTAGCTGTAAATGTTCTCTAAAAATTGGGGCATGATAGAAAGCCAAGCAGAATTAAGAAGTGAACTCTGGCAACAGTGTTAGTTTTCCCACACAAGTGGGTATCCCTAAGCCTCACAGCTTGGCTTGTGCAGGCTGCACTGCACTACATCAAGTGTGAGGCGGTCACCCGCCCAAGGACAGGGATGATATCATGTCATTTCACTCAGCAACCATGATCATCTCTGTGATTGTGACATACCATTTTACCATCTCTATTTCAATGTATTTTTTGAATAGGTGAACAGGATAATATACATGGGAATATCTGAGGAATGGGGAAGCCAAGTTAAGGTGCCAAGTCCATCTGCTAGGAGAGCTAAGTCACCCTGATGGGCAGAGCAGGGTCAAGCTGACTGCCTCAGTCTATGTCCTGGTCTCCATGTTATACTAGAAACAATTTTAAATTCCAGATATTATTTTGAAGTTGGAGAATCGATGACTATTTAAAGAACAAACAGGATGGGCTAAAAAGACTTGAAAGAAGAGAACGGAAAAGGCTCTGTCATAAGTTATAAAGCCTCAGAATATAATCTATAGCATAGCATTTGGTATTTGTTTCCACACAAATACTGGTCATAGAATTATTTTTCCTCAATATTCCACAAGATAGCTGGAAACCAAGAAAATCAAGTTCAAATAAATCTCTTTCTTTAATATTTGTTGTTAAATTTATGCATGTTCAGATGGGTAAAATACTGGGCCTGAATATAACACAAAAACAACAAAATCTTAGACTGTCAAGATAGTTGCACAGGCTCATAATTATGGAAGATCAAAAGAAATTTTTGCAACGGTTTCTTGCCAGCTGGACTTGTACATATTGTCACAATTTAAAATGAGGCCACAGGCAAGAATTTCTATCTTCTTTTTGCAGTTGGGGAAATCGATACCCAAGCAGACAAGAAGACTCTAAAACAAAGAACAGAAAAAAGATAAAAACAAACAAACATAAACAAAAAAATCAAAAAGCCCTCACCAATATTGCAAAAGAACCGCCATGGGATAGGGAGAGAGCACAAGAGTCAGGGCCATCAGGGTCCATCCCTGGCACCATGTGGGCTCCCACGCACCAGCACTGCTGGGTCCTGAGGTCCTGGCTGGTACTGAACATGACTACAGTCACAGCTAGAAAAGGTTCACTGGGAGGGGTCCTAGGGGCCTCTAGCACCAACTAGGGGAAGGGCCTAAAAAGTAACCAAAAGGACACAAATACAGCCAAAAATAAAGTTTAAAAAATCTGTTTTGCTAGCTGTTCACTACTGAATCCAAAAATTATACATGAAACATAAGCTGAATTGACTTTTCCCCTTTATTTTCATTCTGCATTTCAGTGAGCTTGGGAAGCAAAATGAAGTCGATGGGAGAGAATTAATTTATGAGAGTCTCCTCCATAGTTATTTCTGTACTGTGACATTTCCTAGCCTAACAATGGAAAGTATGCCAGTTTTGATCCTGACCTGTGCCATATTTGCTGGCCCATGCCCCAGCTCCTGAACATCTTCCTTCTCTGCCATCCCCAGTGAGGCAAGTCTCCAGTGGACAGCACTGGATCTACACCAGAATAGGAGGCTTGGCCCCAGCAACCTGCACACCCAGTGCTCCTCACAGTTACACTGCCTGCCATTCAGTGAGGATGGGCAGAGGAGGAGAGAAACACTCAGCCTTCTCCCTCAATATCTTCCAGGGGGTCTAACTACAAAGACCCCCCAGCGCAAGAACAATAGAAAACCAATGGGGAAACCACATAGAAAGTAACAAAAGTTCAACAAGCAAAAAATGGTATCACTGAAGGCATAAAGAACACAAAATGGGTACTGGAGCGATAGCACAGTAGGTAGGGCATTTGCCTTATACATGACTGACCTAGGTTCAATTCCCAGCATCCCATATGATCCCCTGAGCACCACCAGGAGTAATTCCTGAGTTCAGAGCCAGGAGTAATCCCAGTGCATCGCTGGGTGTGAATCCCCTCCCTCCCAAATGAACACAAACAGCTCACTAAATTCTTACTGACTTTAGTGACACAGTGAGGAAGATGTTTAATGAGTTCAAAGAAACAATGGCATAGGGAGTCAACAAAGTGCAAGAAATATGAATTGAAATGAGAAAACTACTACAATTAGAAATGAAGAGCATGATAGGTGATACGAAAATCCTAATAAAAGCTCTGAACAACAGAGTTAACAGTAGCTGAGCGTAAGGAACTCCAGGATCAGAAGGAGGAAACAGCCAGGAAAAAAGAGAAGGTGGAAAATAGTCTGAAAATAAATGAACAGTGTACCAGAGTTCAAGAGGAACAATGTAAGAATCACTGGAGTCTCTGAAAAACGGGAAGGCAAATTTGATGAAGAAATAAAAGTTATAGAAATCATCTGTAAGAAGCTTCCAGAGTTGAGTATACAAGAATGAGATCCAAGAGGCCTAAGTGTTCCAGCAAAAATAGACTCAACCAGGAAAATTCCAAGAAACATTATACCCAAAATGACAAAAGCCAAAGATAGAGTCCAAATATTAAAATCAGCAAAAACAAAAAAGGAAGTTACAAAGAAAAGGCCATAATATTCACAGTAGATCTATCAAATGAGATTCCAGAGCTAGAATAAAATGGAAGAATTTTGTGGGATAACATTGGTGTGTCGGTTCTCCCTGGCTGCAGGGATCTTAGGTTTATTTTGTTACACTGTTCACAGTGCTCCCGAGGCATTCCCATTCCTCTACATTTACCTTTAACTTCTGCTTCCCCAACCCGTTAATCACCTTTTCCCTCTAAGCAGTACTGTGTCTTGTAAAGTCAAATTCCTCAGAAATCTCTGATTTTGTATTTGTACGTGAAATACTGCTTTTCTCCTTCCCTAGGTCATTTTGCATAGTTTACTTTGAAGCAATGTCCTTCTTGTAGAGACACAGGAAGACAGTTAATGCTATGCTTTTGTAAGTTGGGAGTTAACTGACTCTGAATAATATTCACTCCTGGACATATGTTTTCTTGACTTAAGCCTCAGTTGCCCTTAGTTCCTAGCACCTCCAAAGCAGGGTCCCGATGAGGGACTGGATGGATCCAAGTCAAGCTGTGAGCTACCCTGGCATCGAAATGGTCCCAGCCAAGTGCCATAATACATAACTATAAGTTAAGAGTACGTCATGGACAAATTCTGTCATAATCCAAAGAGTAATCAATAACTGGGTTAGGACCCTGCTAGGATCAGGGAAGACTAATCTGGCCTGAGCACTGCAGTCTGGGATCTATATCGAGATGTCCCCAGGAAAGCCACCCTACAAGTTTAATGTATCTCTTACTGTGTCCATATAAAATGACTACAAAGATTATTTAGAAGTAAATCTAAGATGGTTGTTGGGCTAAGGAAAGGAGAAACACACCCCTAGGTGGTATTTCGCCCTTGAGCAGATCTGCTTTGTCTTATCTTAGAAGAATTTCCCTTGTTTTCTTTTTTTCCCCCTGCGTGTTGAAATCTTTCTTTTCTTTTCTTTTCCTTTTTTTTTTTAAAATTTTACTGAATCACCATGAGAAAGTTACAAGCTTTCATGTTTGGGTTACAATCACACAATGATCAAACATCCATCCCTCCACCACTGCATATTCCCCAACACCCATCTCCCCAGTATAGACCCCATCTCTCCCTCCCCCTGCCTCCATGGCAGATAGTATCCCCCATACTCTCTCCACTTTTGGGCATTTGCAATACAGACACTCAGAGGTCATCATGTTTGGTCCATTATCTGCTTTTGGCTCACATCTCCCATCCCGACTGATTCTTCTAGACATCATTTTCTTAGTGATCCCTTCTCTATTCCATCTGCCTTCTCCCTTCCACTTATGAGGCAGGTTTCCAGCTATGGGGCAATCCTCCTGGCCCTTGTATCTTACTATCCTTGGGTGTCAGCCTCATGTTGTGTTATTCATTTATCCACATATGAGTGCAGTCCTTTTATGTCTGTCCCTCTCTTTCTGACTCATTTCACTTAGCATGATACTCTCCATGTCTATCCATTTATAAGCAAAGTTCATGACTTCATCTCTCCTGACTGCTGCATAGTATTCCTTTGTGTAGATGTACCAAAGTTTCTTTAACCAGTCATCTGTTCTAGGGCACTTGGGTTATTTCCAGATTTTGGGTACCGTGAACAGTGCTGTAATGAACATATAGGTACAGATATCATTTCTACTGTGCTTTTTTGCATCCTCGGGATATATTCCCAGAAGTGGTATTGTGGGGTCATATGGAAGCTCAATTTCTAGTTTTTGAAGGACTGTCCATATTGTTTTCCAGAAAGGCTGGACCAGTCGGCATTCCCACCAACAGTGAAAGTGCATCCCTTTTCCCCCCACATCTATACCAGCACTGGTTGCTTTTGTTCTTTTGAATGTGTACCAGTCTCTGTGGTGTGAGATGATATATCATTGTTATTTTGATTTGCACCTCCCTGATGGCTAGATGTGGAGCATTTAAAAAAAAAAATGAAGAGCTTTCCTTGGAAGAAAGGGCTTTCATATGTTGACTGTGCTACCTCACCAGGGTGTAGTTACTCCCCTGGAGGTAGATGGAGTGGGGAGACTAGCATGGGAGATAGGAAGAGATGAGAATGGGGAGCTCCGGTGAGACTGGAACAGGCGCATGGGGAGAATGGAATAAACGGCACGACCCTGTTCCCTCCTTCATGTGTTTGCTGGTGGTGGCTGCAGGCCAGGGTGCGGAAGCGGCTCATGGCCACCAAATGCACATGGCAGGTGAGAGAGACTGCCACTGCTGCCCTTGAGTTCACTTATTTATTTTTTGATTATACAGGATACAGTACAAAAACTCAACGAAGTAATACTTCACCAAGAATACTCTATCCAGCTAGATTATCACTCAGATATTAAGGAACAATACAGAGTTTCATGGACAGGCAGCAGCCAAGAGAATTCACAGCCTTGAAACCTGGTTTGCAAGAAGAATTAACAGAGCTTCTTTGAAGAATAGGGCAAGCTTCCCAACATTTGGCATTGAGTATGGCACTCACTCATGGTGCATATGACTGCCCACTACTAAATTAAAAAGCTTTGTTTACTCCTACTTGCTAAGGGATTTTATAAATTTTCAATAGTGAATTATCTTGTTTTTAAAAAGTACACTAATTTCTAAATTTCTGTCATAAACTATAATAATCTATACTAAAACTTTAAAAAAAATCCCCCATATTATTTGCTCTGCACTTAGTTAACAAAATAATCCTTAGTCCCTTCCAACATGCCTTTCAAGGAGAGAGTAAGGAGAGAAAAAAGTGTGACCACATGATTTTTTTATTGATCGACTATAGGCCCTGAAATCTGCTGTTTAGAGAACAGATTAGAAAACATACAAAATATTTCAGTGGAAGTCATAAATATATCCTTAAAACTGGTGAAAAAATGGACAGTAAGAAATAATACTTCAAAATTAATGTAGACCAAATATTCTTTGGCCATTGTTAGGAGAGACGAAGCAGAGATCCAGAGACAACGAAAGAGAGAGAGGCATCCTTGGAAGAACAGAGAGGCCCATTCTTAGCTTGCCCAGGGAGCACTTATACAGGGGAGAAGCCTGGGACCCAATGACAGCACCCACCAAGGTCCCGAATGCCTAAGTGATCTGCAGTCCTCAACTCCACTCCTGAGGGGACCACTCTAACCTAGGCTGGAGCCTCAGGATTTTCAGAACTGAGGGTGGGGACCAGATGGGGGAAGGGAGAAGTCAGTGTGTGTCTTTCCACTAAGGCCCCGCCTGGCCTTGCCTATTTCACCATGAACAGGGTGACGAGGCCTCTGAGTGTTCCACTACGACTCCCTGTCTACTGGAGACATCCACTGGTGGCGGCCGCCCCACTGCTCTGAGCAAACCCTGTTCTTAGCTTTCCTTTCTCAGGGAAGTGAGAGCCACTTTTTAATTTCATGGCATCAGAGGAGTCTCGAGGGGAATGAGACTTCAGAGATAACGATTCAAAAAAATGATAAAAAAATCCAAATTTTGGGCTTTTAAAGTAATGGTATTATGATAATCTTCTCTAGCAGCGGAAGCTCAGACAGGGTATACTGTTGAACTAAATACATCTCCCTTGCCTAAAGAGACAGGAACAAATAAGCCCGAGAAACGCAGAAGGGGCAAAAAACCAACTAGATATAATTCTCCCATGTGGCTAATTTTCTACATATCTGAAATACATATTTTAAAAGGACAACAGAAAAGATGTCAATAAGGACTCAGAGGGGAAAGGGACTGCCTCTACTGCCCCTTCATTCCCACTCACACCTGTCTTGGGAAGTGCAGCCCCATTTAGAAAAGGATCTGGGCTTCGTTTCTTACCTTTGTAATTTTCTTTCTTTATGAAAGAATCCAAGAGTAAATTGAATGTAAAGTTATCTGGAAAAATTCCATACTGAACCTGTAAGAAAAATAAAAATATAAGGAAGAGTAGGGAAACATATCCACTGGGCTTATATGCCTATGTGTCATCCAGGACGCAGAGCCACACCACCATGAGCTTGCAAGTATCTGCCTGATTTCACAGCATCTGTGACCGTGACAGAGATAGTGTGACTCAGGAGGTTTGGGAGCTGCAACTGTTTGTTCGGGGTGAGAAAGTTGTGAGTGGGTGTCTGACAGAGAAACACTGAAATGTGGAAAACAAAACTCAGTTCTAAAGCCTCCCTGAGGCTACAAGCACCAAATCAAGCCAACTCCTCTCACCTCGCACTGGCTTAGTGGTTCTTTTCATCAGATAGGAAGATCAGCACAAGAATGGACCCCATGAGAAAGAATACAGCTTCTTACTCTGCACCAGTGCCTCGTCCTTAAGCTTTCCCCTACCTCCATGGGATATAGCACTGTATAAAATATAAGGTACGCACATATATTCTAGCAAATATATATTCTGCTTATCATGTGCTGCAAAATGATTTGCATAGTCCATCACCACAGAATTATTTTTTTGTTGATTTGACAATAATGGTTAGAATATTTAAGATCTAATCTCTAAGCAAATTTTAAGGACATGGTACTGTTAGCTACTATAGGCACGATGCTGTACATTAGCTCTTTAGAATGTATTCCTCTTGCAAACTGAATTAAGACTGTACCCATGACCACTATCTCTCCAAGCCTCTCCTGCCTCCAGGTCCTGCACCCATTCTTCTAGTGTTTCTATGTATTCAGTCCCCCCCACCCCCGGGCCCCCAGATTCCATATGTAAGTGAGAGCATACAGTATTTGTCTTTCTCTAGCTTTTACTTAGTGCCCTTAAGGTTCACTTACATTACAGCAAACGGGTTGTCCTTTTTAATAGCTGAAAACAGTCCATTGTGTACAGAGAGCATATTTTCTTTATGTGCTCATCCATCCATGGGCACTTGGATTGTTCCCGTGATTTGGCTACTATGAATAATGCTGCAACGACCATGTGGGTGCAGATAGATACTCAAGATAATCATTTCACTTCCTTCACATATTACTGAGAAGTCAATAGCCATATTACATGACAGATCCATCTTAATCTGTCGGGAAATCCACTAATCTTTGGAGGTACTCCCACCAAGAGTACATAGGAGTTCCCTTTCTGCTAGATCTTCACCAGTTCTTGTTATATTTCTTGTCTCTTAGATTGGTTTTGAAAGACTGAAGAAATCTGCCCACCGACCACAACTAACCAAGTTCTTAAGCTGTTTTGTTCACAGCAGCTGAATACTTACTAATCACAATTTCTCAAAATGTGGCTCCGTCAGCATCTCACTAAGAATTCTCTATAAGTGTGTTTAACAATGCAGATTATTAAGCCTCCAACTCACAGAATAAGAATGTCTGGGAAGGAGACACAGAGACCTAGTGTCACTGAGTGATGCTCATGTACAATCAAGTTTGACTAGATAGTGTGTGCATTTTATGATGTAGAGAGTAAATGCATTTTTGTTTTTAAATCTTTACTTCAGTAAAATTAGTCACGATTCCTCTCAACTGCCCTGTTCTTCCCAGTGCACCTGCCCCCAGCACTAGAAATAGCTGACGACTTTTTTTTCAAAGCATATCACCCCTTTGGGAGTTGCTGACAGTCTTGACCACCAGTAGCAAATCACTGCTAAATTGAGTCACCATTACTAGGCGGCAGTGTGGGATGCCTCTGATGTGAAAAACAGCTGGTAGAATCTCAAAGCAGGCGTCCAAATGATCACTAATCTCTGGGGGCAGAGTAAAAACAAAGTATTTTGGAGTAATAAATCATTAAAGCGGAAAGAGCCGTAAGAAATGGACTGGTGAGTGATTTTCAACCTAGCCACAAATGATAATCAGTCTGAAAATTTAAAAACATGCCAATGACAGCTGACCAGGCAGATCACAAAGGACTTGGGGGAGGGGGGAGAGTGAAATTACTCTGCATGAAATGATCATGGTTGTTATGTGTCAGACACCAACATTACAGTGAACCCTAATGTAAATTCTGCATCTGAGTGACAATAATGTGTCATTGTAGGCTCATCAACGATAACCATGCAGGTGGGGCAGGTTGCTAATGGGGGAGATGGCGGGACTACGTGCGTGTGTGGGGGCAGGAAACAGATGGGAAGTCTCTGTACCTTCTGCTCTATTTCGCTGTGAATACAAAACTGCTCTAAAAAATAAAGTCCACATTAAAAACAACACGAAGCTATTAAAAATGCCAAGTGCCTGCTCCAAGAAGATCAATTATATTGGAATTTGGGAGTAGAGAAGAACATTTGCAAGTTTTAAAAATTTCTCATATGATTCTAAAGGGAGCCAGGATTAGAAATCACTGCTTTATAACAATTCACTGGAGTTAAAAGTTAGAGGGGGGGAAAAAAACCTAGAAGAATAAAAATATTTGCCTGAAGTGGTGGGTATTGTTAGAATTTTGGGGGTTACAGTCTGGGTCTCCTGAGCCCTTGTCCAGTGTCCTTTGGACTAAAAGCCAAGGAACAGCAGAATATGGAAATGTGAATTTCAAGGGAAAGTCATGGGGGCGTGCACAGGACTGAAGTGTTGGAATCCTGGTGGCAGAGAACCAGAGAACTGTTCCCCTGGCTGGCCCACAGCAATAGATAGATGAAGGACAGGGCCCCAGGCTTTTCGTAGTCAGTTTATTTCTCTCTCCTCACCAGCTTAGTCTGATCTCTCCCCTTACAGCACAATCACAGGTGTAGTTTTGATCACAGTCCCAGTCATCAGAGTTCCATCATTCTAGTCTCCTCACAGACCTCAAAGTCCTCTACTTCATTACCCCTTACAGCATAGTTATATAGAAATCATGAAGGGTGGTGGTACACATAGGTGGGGTTGAACATTATCTTAACAACAAACAGAGGTAAAGCCATTCTTCAGGCAAAGTTCTCGGGGATTAACTCAAGGACAAAATCTCATCTGAGGGTTCAGCACTCCAGATTACTAGGAAATTTGCTCGAGTGAGATTCCATCCAGGGTGTATTACTTTATCCTTTCCTCACCTAGTAATCCATTTAAACAATCAAAGTAAATTTACTTCTTATAATATTTCTTTAGAGAGACCTCTAGGCTGTAACACTGCATTGGCCTCCCATTGTTCATTGATTTGCTCGAGCGGGCCCAGTAACGTCTCCATTTTGAGACTTGTTTTTACTGTGTTTGGCATATTAAATACATCACTCGTGTGGGTGTGATACTCTCAGTAGCTTGCAGGCTCTCCAAGAGGGGCGGAGGAATCAAACCCGGCTTGGTCAGGCTGGCTGTGCACAAGGCAAACGCCCTACCCGCTGTGCTATCGCTCCAGCCCAATATTTCTAGTCATTTTGTATGAGCACAGTAAGAGAGATATTAAGCTTAAAGGTTGGCTCTTCCTGGGGACATCTCGCTATATATCCCAGACTACAGTCCTCAGGCCAGGTTAGTCTTTCCTAACCCAACAGGATCCTTACTCAGTTACTTCTTTTTGGGTCATGACAGAGTTTGTTCCAAAACTCTTTATTATACTCCTGGTGCTTAGCCTGAAACCTTCTGATGCCAGGGTAGCTTACAGCTTGCCCTGGGTCTATACAGTCCCTTTATTGGGACTCTGCTTTGGGAGTACTAGGAACTAAGGGCAACTGAGGCTTAAATCAAGTAAATAGGAATGCCCAGGAGTGAGTATTATTTTGGAGTCAATTAACTCCCATGTTACAAAGAAGAGCATGAACCGTCTTCCTGTGTGTATACAAAAAGGACATTGCTAAACCATGTAAGTGACATAAAAGAAAGGGAAAAGCAGTATAGGATTATTAGTGTGTGCTGGAACTGGGTGTGTCTCAGGGGCACCGTTGTGGGGGTAACTCAATAAACCTAAGCTCTCTGCAGGAGCAAGGACAACCCAATGTTATCCAACATGGGAAAGATTTTTTTTCCTTCTTTCTAACTCATTCTTTTTTTGAGTAAGGTCTGTGTCATGAGAGCTGGAGTACACCCTTGGGATGCAGGAATCCTGAGTTCATTTTCTATGAGTGTGTAACTCACACAAGGGGGGCTCGGCACCCACAGTGGCGGTGGCTCTATCTCTCCCACCGCCCACGTTCGGTAGTCTCACCCTTCTCCCACCCGGGAGAGGTTGATGGCGATGGTCAGGCGGAGGAAGGAACGAGGGCTAGGCTGGTTGGTATTTTTAATCGTAGTTTATTCTGATTCTCTCCTCATCTGTCTCTGCTCCCTCTCTCCTTCTCTCTCTCTGCTCCCGTCTCTCTCTGTTTCTCCTCGTCTCTCCTTCTGTCTCTGCTCCCATGCTACTTCATTCTCCTCCATCCCCCTTCATCCTCCTCTTCCTTCTGATCCTCTCTGAACTCTCTTCTTCCTTCTGCCTCCAACCTGCTCCTACAGTACAGTTAAATCCTCTCTCCATGAGGAATTGGGGGAACAATTACATAGGTGCGGTCACAATCAATAGGGGTAGAGATCAACAGGGGTAGAAATCTTAGCCTCAGGGAAGGCCACTCCTAGGACAGATCCTCTCTCAGCATGAATCCCAAGGGTGTGTCTCTCCTCTCCTTGTCCAACAAGCATATAAGCATATATAATATAAATCATTTTGTATGGATACAGTAAGAAATATCTTAAACTTATAGAATTGCTCTCCTAGGGCCATCTCGATCTCAGACTACAGTGCTCAGGCCAGACAGTCTTTCCCACCCCTAGCAGGATCCTAGTCTCGTCGTTACCTTTGGATCATGACAGCATTTGTCTATGATCAGACTCTTAACTTATAGTGAAGAATCGTGGCACTTTGGCCTGGCCCATTTTGCTGCCAGGGTAGCTCACCGCTTGCCCTGGGTCCATTCAGTCCCTCGTCGGGACCCTGCTTTTGGGGGTTAGGAACTAAGGGCAACTGAGTCTTAAGTCGAGAAAGCAGATGCCCGGGAGTGAATAATATTCAAGGCCAATCAAATCCTAAGTTACAAAGCATGATGTTAACGGTCTTCCTGTATCTATACAAAAAAGATATTACTTTAAGGTAAAATGTTCATAAGGCATAAGGAATGGAGAAAGGTAATATTTCACTCATACATAGAAAATCATAGATTTCTGGGAAACTGATCTTACAAATTAACAAAGTCTGATTAAGGGGAAAGCTGATTAACTGGGTGGGAAGGAGAGCATAGGGAAGATTGTTTACAGATAAACACAATGGAAGTGGAAGTGCTTCAGGAGCACTGTGATGGGTGTAACCAGATTGATGGGTGTAACCAGATAAACCTAAGCTTCTTGAAGGACAAAGCAATGTTACCCAACAATGAGCACTGCAGAAGTGGACCCTAAACTAAAAATACACCCTAATCAACTCCCCACCCCCCCAAAACAATCCTAAGATAAACAAAAAATTAAAAATTCGGTGTCCTTATACTTTGAACAACTAAAGAGACCAGATTTAATCCATTCATTCCCAAAGGGCCCAATATTATTTTTCTCAGTGAACCTGAATATAAGCTTCCTAAGGGAAAGGATAGGATATTACTCACTTTTGTAGATAATGCCATATCCAGCACAATATATGCAACATTCCCTCACAAACTGCTGTGTTAGATAAGCTGAATTGTAACCAAGTAAAAACCTCTCAAAACCCAGAATGCCATTTTCTTATGAGTTCTAACACACAAGGTCCAATAACACTATAGGAATGATACAATTTCAATGAAATTCTCTAAAAGTCCTTTTATAGATCAAATTTATGCTCCAATTTGAGATTCAAAGCAATCAATTTTTAATAAACTTTAGTTTTTTATTATTTCACACTATGAACATAATAAAGACTCAAACCTTCCACAGGAAAATAATATTTTAAAAAAACTAATCATAGGAGCCTTTGAAGGTTTGAGGAGTTAGGGAATTTGAAGACATGTTTGGAGTAATCTAAGAACAGTCCTGAAAATGTCTAAGTACTGGAGATGACATTCCTGCAAAATGGACACAGCCTATTCCCTAAACTCCACTGAAGAGAGTCTGGCCAGAAACCCAAGGCTTCAGGCTCAGGAATGCTTCTCAGAGCAGAGTTCTTTGGTTTGATTCCCCTTTATGTTCACCAGTCTGCTTCTGAGACGCTATGCTGGCAGTAGCAAGTAGACGCAGCGATTAATTTTAGTGGGTAGGCTAATCTGATTTCAGCTTCACTCCAGGAACTCTATGAAAACCACTCACCTTATTTACAAGAGTATATAAGGCTTTGTCGAGCGCACCATACTTTAGGCACTGCCTAATCCAGGTGTGGATAGTCCAGTCTCTCAGATACCAGCAGTTGGGGCTATGTCGAAATCTAAGCAAAACATAAGGGGGAAAGTGGTGTTAGTTCTTAAATATCACTGCCAAAACACCAATTCCAGGGAAAAGAGGTAGTACAGAGGGTAGGGCATTTTCCCTGCATGTGGCCAACCTGGGTTTGATCCCTGGCATCTCATATGGTTCGCCGCGCCCTACAAGGAGTGATCCCTGAGCACAGAGACACAAGCAACTCCTGGACATTGCCAGGGGTGGCACAAAACCAAACCAAAACCAAAACCACCACCACAACAAAAACACAACTTCCATTAACAGGTTCTTCTCTCATTTACTTACATATGTGCAGTCTATGTGACCAAGAGTCCTAAGTCAGCGGTCAACAATAAACCCAAGGATGAAACTTATTAACTCGAAGGCCTGAGAAATAGAACAGAGGGCAGGGTGCTTGACCTGGGTTGGTCCCTTGCATGTGGTCCTCTAAGCCTCACCAGGAGTGATCTCTGAGTGCAGAGTAAGCCCTGAACACAGCTGAGTGTGGCCCCAAACAGACAAACAAATCATAATACCACAAAATACAAACAAAACATATTAGCGACAAAATTTAAGGGGCAAGAAAAAGAAAGCCAATAATAAATAACAACAATAGCACAGCACTTTACCCCTTATTTAATATGCCCTAATTCAATATCCTGACTTAATATGAGGCTGTTGAAAAGGATTATGGAGAAACTTCTACTAGTCAGTGTTAGGTCAATACATATTTCTGTAGATGAGCGCTATGAAGCTGAAGGTGTCAGGCCGGAAGCCTAAACTCAAGAGCAGAGCATAAACCTGGCTGAGTTCAATTCTAGCACTATGTGCCCACACGCTTCCACCCCAACAAAGCACTGCTGGGGGGGTGATCTCTATTTAAAAAAAATGGACATTTACATCAAAACACGAAGCAAACATGAGGAGTTACATGGCAACTCTAGAGAGAAATCAGTTTTGATTTCTATGGGCACTTCTTGTGATACTGAGCCGAAATTGGGCATTCTTCATGGAACTGAAAGAAAAGGAAAACAAAGGATGAGAGGAATGGGGTAAAATTTAACCTTTAGCAGGACGACTGCTCTGCCTTTTCGTAAGTTCATAACTCCAGTCCATCTCACTGCTTTGCTTCCAACCCCTCCCCACCTAGTTTTACAGGGCCCCACAGCTGGAGCTGAGGGCTGGACAGTATTCTCACAGGCAATAGCGTTTGGAAAGGATTTTTCAAGGCTGCACGTGTTTAGAGCTCACACCTGCTCGTGGGACCATCGGGATTACAGCTGCCTTTTGTCCTAGCTTTGGGGGTCTCTACCACAAGAAGGCACAAGGACACAGGACACAGGGCTGTCTAAGGGGCTTTTATTACCCCGCCCCCACCTTTTGTTGACCTATTTCTCTTCAGACAGCATCATCATGTTAGCTAAGGTCCTCATTGTCTCTTTAACCATGTACAAACATCAAAAGGCAGGTAAGATAAACACCTGGGGACAAAAGGACTGATTTTTGCACCTGATCTGAGAGTTGGGGCCACGGATTAACACAGCTTATTTTTTTAGAGGCTGGTTATTCAATCAGCCACTTACAAGAGACCTTACTGCTGAGCAGGTTCGCTGCCAAAGCAAAAAGCTGAGAAAAAGAGGAAGTAAGAAGCGGTGTTTAATTTAGACTATTAGTGCTCTTGAGAGGGTTGATAAAAATAAGATCTGAAGATGTTTGAAGGATTTAGTCATCTTGTCCTGCCCATTCTTCTGAATGTCCTGCACATTAACTTTCTCTGAAAAAGGTCACTCTCTTTATATTTTCTTATAGAGTCAACTCCTTTAAAAGTAGAAAGATAAAAATGTGAAGTCATATTCAGAAGAGAATGACCTAGCCAGAGGAAAGCACTGGAGAGGTTTCCTGAAATACAAGACTTAATTCCTGCATAACATATTCATACGTGTGTGTGTGTGTGTGTGTGTGTGTGTGTGTGTGTGTGTGTGTTTGGTTTTTGGTTGTTTTTTCTTCTTGGGTAATACCCGGCAGTGCTCTGGGCACCATATGAGATATCAGGGATCGAACCTGGGTGGTCTGCATGCAGGGCAAGCACCCTACCCGCAGAACTATTGCTCCACCCCCCCAGACCTTTTATATTCCATATGCTCTCCTTCTCATTTTAATTTTTTTTTCTTTTCGGGTCACACCTGGCAATGCTCAGGGTTTACTCCTGTCTTTGCACTCAGGAATCATTTCTGGCAGTGCTCAGGGGACCATATGGGATGCTGGGAATCAAACCCAGGTCGGTGCATGCAAAGCAAACACCCTACCCACTGTGCTATCACTCCAGCCCCTCATTCTAATTTTTTTTTTTTCTCAGAGGTTACTCCTGGCTCATGCACTCAGGAATTGCTCCTGGCAGTGCTCGGGGGACCATATGGGATGCTAGGAATCGAACCTGTGTCGGCCATGTTGGCTGCATGCAAGGCAAACGCCCTACCTGCTGTGCTATTGCTCCAGCCCCCATTTTAATTTTTTAATGAAAACACCTTCCTTACTTTTTTGGGGGTAGGGGACAAACCCAGCAGTGTTCAGGGATTACTTCTGGCTCTGTACTCAAGGATCACACTTGGTGGGGTTTGTGGGACCATATGTGGTGTCAGGAATCAAACCTGGGTTGGCCACATAAAAAGCAAGTGCCCAACTTACTGTCCAATCTTTCCAGTCCATTCAGTCACATTTTCATGTCCATTTATTAATTTGTTTGTTTTTTGAGTGCCATACCCAGTAATGTCTGGTGGGGACTGCTCAAATGGGGGTTTGAGGGAATCATATGGGGATTGAATGAGGGTCAGCCACATACAAGGCAAGTACCTCAACCCTCGTACTACCTCTCTGGCCCACTCTTACACTTTAAAATCAAGAATTCCACTCCTTGGGCTCCTGTACTTGTTACTCTGAAAAACTAGAGATTTGAAGTAAAGTAAAATGACCAAAGAAATTGTTACATTAAAAAAGTCAAGAGAAATGCCTGGAGTCCTGCCTCAGTGAGTATGGTGCTTTCTCGCCTTTAGTCTGCATGTATGCTGGGCAGGAAGGCGCAGCATTGAACTTGCTCGGCACTGATGCCTGCCAGTCTGGCCTGATTCACAGAAGGCTTCCGGCAAATACAAAAAATAAATTAAAGGGCTTCAATCACCACAAGCATCAGATGCACTGGGTCATCTGAAATCTACGGATGCAGGGAGGGTTGTGACTTCCTGTCTGGGACATTCAGAATCTCATGTTCAAACAATCTCACGTTCAGACAAAATTTCTACAATTATAGTTTAACAGCAGTCCTAGGAGGAAGACAGGAAGTGCTCAAGACACAAAAGGCACCCTAGGTGCTAGAACTGCTTTTGGGATCAGTAGTGGTTAAAGGTTAGTTCATTTATCCTTTAGAAACAATACACAAGATGGAATTTAAAACATCAACTGTCCCCTTTATCGAAGATTAATTAATGTGTTTATTTTGGTTTGGGAGCCACACCCAGCCGTTCTCAGAGCTCACCCCTGGTTCTGTGCTCAAGTACTCAAAGAATCATAAGGGGTGCCAGGGATCAAACCTGGATTGACCTCATGCCAAGGAAGTGCCCTACTCAATGTACTGTCACTTTAACCCCTCCCCCCAATTATTTTAAACCTAATCCTCATTTTCAATCATATCTACTGCCTTAAACATGACTAATGACAACTAAAATATTTGGCATTTCTTTTGGACAGCCTTTAAAATGACCAAATCCAACCAATACCCCTTTTGTCTACTGATAATCATGAATCATGAAAAGCACATCATTTTCAGACTTGAAGTGTGAAACCAGAGGTTGGAGAACCCAGCTGACACGACTTCAAAGCTCAAATGAAAATTTGTTGAAAGCCATTTAGGTTGTCAACATAAAGATGAACAGTGAAGTCTTATTTTCTCCTCCAGTTATTTTTTAGAAGACTAAAAGGCAAGTGACCTAAGACTTCACACACCTATCATCCATCTTCATACCTAATCCATATGCATAAGTATAAATAGCATCTCAAAGGGCGAGTAACTCTGGAAGAGAGATTCGGTTACAGAAATCTGACTAAGAAAGAGAATGGCTTTGGAGAGGTAAGAGGAAGGAACTGCCATATATTTATACATGCAAACTCAACCTAGGGCCTGAAAAGAGACCTAAGGCCTGAAAAGAGAGCACAGTTCACAAAGAGTTTTTAACTTGCTAGTTATAGGCTACACTGCTTCTAGTGGGATCGCTTTTCATTTAATAGATACAATGTTTGCTAATATATACAACTGGTTCAATCAGTGATTAGTACAATTTATTTTAAATTCCATACAGACATTTACTAATTGTTTCTGTGTCCCTGTTCCTGTTTAAGCAACCTGAGCAAATCTGCCCCCTTGCTCTGTTCTGGTTGTTTATCTATTTATTTATTTATTTTTTGCTTTTTGGGTCACACCTGGCATTGCACAGGGGTTACTCCTGGCTCTGCACTCAGAAATTACTGCTGGTGGTGCTCAGGGGACCATATGGGATGCTGGGAATCGAACACGGGTTGGCCATGTGCAAGGCAAATGCCCCACCCGTTGTGCTATCACTCCAGCCCCATTGTTGGAGCTTTCTGATTTACGGCTTATTCATCTTTGCCCAGCTGCTAGAATGGGCCACTCAGAGGTCCTGCCTCTCACTTTCCCACGTCAGTCTGACTCTCATAGGAGTCTCTCAAATACTTTCTCATCTTGGGACTGGGATTCTTGGTATGATCAGCACTCTCGAAGACCCAATCAAACAGACACACAGTCACACCTAGAACAGTTTCAGCTAAGTGAACAACATTAAATCAACTTAGAATAAAGACAAAACACATTAATAATTTGAAATACAAGACCAAGATGGCTGCCCTCCAACGTCCTGATGGATCTATCACATCTTCCAGAACGGCAATGGAGAAGATTATCCATGACTTCTACTTGGATCTCTTTGATGGCCACATCCA